GGAGGAAGGAATCTTAATCAGTAAATCCGATTGGCCTATGATTGATGATTGATGTGGAAGGGCCTAGCCTAGTGTAGCTGGTGCCACCCCTGGGCATGTGGTTCTAGGATGTATAAGAGAGTAGGCCAAGCAAACTAGCAAACTACAAGGAGCAAGCCAGTTAGCAGCACTCCTCCATGGCCTCTGCATCAGCTCCTGTATCCAGGTTTCTACCTCCAGTTCATGCCCTAACTTCTTTTGATGATAGACTGTAAGATGAAATAAGCCCTTTCCTCCCAAAGTTGTTTTTGCTCATGGAGTTTTAGCATATAACAGTAGAAACCCTAAGACAGCACATTACCAGAGGAGGAAGGCAATCATCAGTCTTACCCAGCTGTGAACCCCACAAGCTACAGTAACAACTGGCCTGGCAAATATGCCCATGTACGAGTAGTAGCATGAACATTATGGGCAGAGCCAACCACTTTCTGGTTGAATTTAAGTCCCACTCTATAAGATGAAACCCATACCTTGCACCATTGTCAGACCAAGAACCTCTGGGAGAACCTACTTCTATTATTCTGCTAAATGGGCATAATATTAAACCGATTCCTAATGACTTCGTGTTATACCCATAGATTAATGTGTCTTTCAACACTAATCAGAGAAGCTTCTATTTCTGTATAGATGGTGATTAACACAGAGACCAGCAAGTGGCCAGGGTGCAGAGAATAAAGACTGCAGAATGTTCAGCCCTAACTGGGACATCTATACGGCATCCCTACGCTGCATCCCCCTCCTCCCAAAGCTCAGGGATCGTTTCAGAAGAGGGAGCAGAAAGACTGTAAAAGCCGTAACTGAAGTATGAACACAAGGAAACAGTGTCTCTCAACCTCAGCAGGAAAGCTACATATACAAACTTAGAGTGATTGTGAGTACAGACACAAGCCCTATGCAAGCCCAAGCTAGACCAAATCCCAGCAGAGAGGGGAGATGGGACTTTCATACCCATGCCTAACCATGGAGCTATTGCAATTGATAGCTGCTGGGAGAGGGGGAGTCAGTTTTCTTTGAGAGTTTTACCCCCAGTAAGTCAGCCACACTCCAGTGGAAGGCCACACATCCAAGAATATATGGGGAGCACAAACTGGATTTGCTAGGTGAAGAAACATAACAAGAGAACACAAAGTTGGGTGTGTCTGGGAGAATGTGATCAAAATCTACTGCATGAAATTCTCAAAGAATTAATAAAAAATGATGAAATATTAAAAAATAAGTTTGCCATTTGAATCTATAATTGTAATTAATGAATTAAGTTAGAATAACAGTTGTTGATTCACACACACACACACAAAGTCCAATATCAGCTTGTCCTCATGGATTTGGCCTCTGGTAAAGACCCTAATGATGGATGACACCGTGGTCGGGGCATGCCTAGTCATATCGAAAAATCTGGAGACAGATTCGGTGGTAGAGCTCGCTTTTCTAACAACCACCTTTTGGAAAACTAACTCCAGGGCCATCAAGATAGCTCAGTGGGTAAAGGCAGTTGCTGAACACACCGGGGGACAAGCATTCAATCCCCCAGAGTTCATATAAAGATAGAAGGAGAAGACCAGCTGCACAGAGTTGTCCTCTGGCCTCCACGTGTGCTGTGTGGCACCTAGGTGCCCTTTAATAACGGTGATAACAAAATATTAAAAATATATCTAACTCATGTCCCATGAGTACTGCTTGAATCCCTTCTAAGGACACTCAGACTACAGAGTAGGTGCTGCCTTTTATCAGCATCACACTGAGACTAAGCCTCCAGCACTGGCACCTGGGATTAGGGAGTTAGGGACACACTCAAACCACAGCCAAGGACATTGCTTGACTTAGGTCATGACGGCTCCAACTAGGTAGAGGTAGTGCCAAATGGTCCCATAAAGGATGTAGTTTAACGGAGAGCTGACTGTTTTCACTGATGTATTATTAAGGGATGTATGGGAAAGGAATCAATTATGACCCCAGCAATTTTGGTCTGAGCAACTGTTAAGGGCAAAGTCAGCACCCACTGCTGGGGAAGGAGGTAAGTGGAGCAGTGTTGGGTGAGATGTCAGAGCTCAGTCAGGACCCTTGCCTCTGAGATGATGAACTGTCCTCTAGACACCCAGGTAGGGGTCTAGATGGATGAGGTGGACTTTGAAAGTGACCCTGGGATAGAGCAGCAAATATTAAAGTCACACATGCAGGTGTTGCATGTGCACTCAGCTGTGGGGATGATGGGAGAGGAGGAGAGGCAGACATGATCCCTGGACTCCCTAGCATCTTTTTACAGACTCACAGCGGCTCATGGTATCACAGTGCAGGGGTACAGGGAACTTTTCTAGTCCTGTTGGTAGTTTGGCAACCAACTACCTGGTGTTAGGACCCCTCTGAATTGCCAAACATCATCCTGTTAATTTTCCAGGTGACCAAATACCTAGCAGAAACAATTAAGGTTGAAGAATTAAATTTGGCTCACCATTCAGGGGGATTTGGGTCACGACGGTGGGAAAGGCATGGTGACACACTCCATGGTGGCTGGACCTCATGGTGGATCTCCACATGTGGCCACTAGACACCAGGAAGCAGAAAAGAGCACCAGAAGTGGGACCGGGCTGTAGATGTAACCAACCATCTTATTAAATAAGAAACACAGAACCAATGCAAAGAAGAAAGCCAAGAGATCAGAGCTAAGAGCCTTACCTGTCTGCTGCAGCTAGCCTCTTCAGCCAAGAGAGACCTAGTTCCTGAGTGTTTGTCTTTATATAGACTTTCTGTTCTGCCTTCTCATTGGTTGTAAACCCAACCACATGACCGCCTCGTCACTGTCTGTTTGTACAGACCTCCAGATCTTCTATGGTTGGTATTGAGATTAAAGGCGTGTGTCTCCAATGCTGGCTGTATCCTTGACCACACAGAGATCTAACTAGCTCTGCCTACCAAGTGCTGGGATTAAAGGCGTGTGCCACGAACACCCAGCTCTGCTATGGCTTGCTATTAGCTCTGACCCCCAGGCAACTTTATTTATTAACATACAAATAAAATCACATTTCAGTACAAATAAAATATCACCATACCAGGCAGTAACCCTGAAGCCCCCTCCTCTCCACTGTGACCCACCTCTTCCAGCCCAGCTGTACCTCTAAAAGGGCCACAGCCTTCCAAGACAGCGCCACCATCTAGGCACCAGGTGAACACATGTGAGCCTGTGGGGACACTTCAGATTCAAACCATCACAGCTCGAGAGGAAGGGAACTGATATCTATCAACAACCTCAATGCTAATGTACTAGTTGCCTAGATTGCTGCAAAAAAAAAAAAAAAAAAAATCTCCACAAACATAGCAACTTGTGGCAATGTGAGTTTTCTCTCATAGTTTTGAAAGTCAGAGGTCTAAAGTGGGTTGGCATGTTTTTGTTCCTCCTAGAAGCTCTAGGGCACAATTTGCTCCCCTGTCCTTTCCAGGTTCTAGAAGTTTCCCACACACCTCGGCCTGTTGCCCCTCTGAGGTTTGGTTTTCCGGTTGCATCGGGTCTCCTGACTCTGCACTCTGTCCTGTTACTGTCACTCTCGTGGTCACGCCGGGCCCACCTGGCCATTGATCCACGATCACATTAGCAAAGTCCCTCTGCCATCTCAGGCAGCCGTCACCAGTTCAGGGAATAAGGCTGTGGGTAACTGAAGGCTGAGCACTATGGCTGGTGCTTCCTGAGGGATGTGTCTAGTCTTTTGAAGGCCCTGTGAGGCAGACATGTGAGTCATGTTGTGGCTGAAGAGACTAGGTGGGTCTAGGGAAGGGCTTGGGATGGGAACCCCATGTGACCATCCACTCTTCCGCCTTTCTGAAGCCCTGTTTGAGTTTGTGTGTCCACACAGCCCCATAGTTAGGGTGAACAGGCAATCTTCGAATTATTAGTCAAGTGAGGATTTTTCCACTTCATGACAGTTTAAGAGCAGTGCATTTTCAGTGGAGTTGAGGCTTTTGATCTTTTCTTGAGCAAGCCATGCATGTGCGGTGGGGTCTCCCTTTTGATGCCAGGCTACGGCAGCAAGCCATGGCTTCCAGATAACTTGCTATGAGAGGAAGCTCTTGACTTTCCGATGTGTTGCTGAGCTAGACTGCTCAGTTGCTCACTTGTGTTAGGAGTGCTTTCTCCTTGGGATGGTGTTGCCTACCAGTAGGTTATTAGGACATAACTTCATCATAAATGGAGGAGTGTCTCTGTCAGCATTCTACAGCTGCTGTAACAAGATGCTGCCAACCGGGGAGCTTAACAAACAAAAACGTCCTGTCTTAGAGCTGAAGTCTAAATTCCAACAGCAGCTCCTTCTGAAGACTGTGAGGCCAGGATTTATTCCAGACCTTTCTATATGGTTTATAGAGGGCTGTTTCCTTGTATTTATTCAGATAGTGTTTTCTGGATGTGTTTTGGTGTCTGTGCCCAAACACACCACACACACACACACACACACACACACACACACACACACTCTCACACTTTTTTCCCCACTGTGTATTCTTGGCTGCCCTAGAGCCCACAATGTAGACCAGGTTGGCCTTGAACTCACAGAGATCCTCTACCTTCTAAGTGCTGGAATCTAGAATGACACAAACCTCAGATATATATTCATCATTGAATTGATACAGGCTTGCTTCAAAATTCTGGGTCCAAGTAATCCTCCTGCCTCAGCCTCCTCCTTGGTTTTCTGGTGGCTTCTTCGTATATGTGTGTCATTATAACTTACTCCAGTTTGTCCCTTCTGTCACTCCTTTGCCCTGCCAGATGCTCATCTCTAGGAAGAGCACCCAGAGACAAACCCAAGAGTGTTTCACCAGCTATTGAGACATCCCATAGCCTGGTGAAGCGGACAGTGAAAGTGAACTGTTCCGCTCGATGTGAGCTGCGCACACAGCCAGTGCTTCGGGAGGGAGAAGGCTGTGGAGTGACTTTCTTTCCCTTCAGTTCATTTGCTTCTGTCTCATTTCTTTTCTAGGAGAGGAGTTCATTGCTTCGTAAATGGTATGACTTAATGATACAGAATAAGGATGACCTTGCCAAGATCATCACAGCTGAGAGTGTGAGTTCACAAGCTTGCTGCTGCGAGGAAGAGTCCTGGGGTAGTTAAACCAGAGCTTGGTGGCTAGACAGTCAAGGCTTCCCTGGCTGTTGTCCTGCAGCTTAGAGACATTCGATCCTTCGATGACAAAGGGACTGAGTCATCATGGTGCCCAGAAAACACATTTGCTAAAACAAAATATATGTGTTCTAGTATATGTGTTACTAATTTGCAAAAAATAGATTTGGAGGGCTGGATAAATGACTCAGCAATTGAGACTGTGCACTACTCTTGCAGAGGACCCAAGTTCAGTTCCCCAAATTCACATCAGGCAATTCACAACTGCCTATATCTCCAGCTCCAAGGGATCCAATGCCTCTGACCTCTGTGGGCACCTGCACTCATGTGCACACACAGCCCCACAGACACATACAATTAAAAATAACAAAAGTAAATATTTAGGAAATAGGTCTGTTTGGAGCAATATGAAAAATGATTTTTTTAATCATTCCAGTTTTTATTTATTTTAAGACTTATGCTATTATTTATTCATGTATATGTATGTATATACATATGTGAGTATAAATGAGGCCAGAAAAGGGCATTGAATCTCCTGGAACTGGAGTTACAGATGGTTGTGAGCCACCATATGGGTGCTGGGATTCGAACCCTGGTCCTCTGGGAGAGTAGCCAGTGCTCTTAACCACTGAGCCAATTTTTTTCTTTTTTGAAATATAATATTGCTCGTTTATTTCCTGAGAATTTCATACATGTATACAATATATTTGTAGTCTATCAGTCTCCTCCTTCCCCCACTCTGACTCCCCTTGCACCCCTTCGACATGTCCTCTCCCAGTTCCATGTCCTCTTCATTTCACTTTTGGTGACCTTAGTCCAGATAGTGCTGGTCATGGGTGTGAGGCTACACACTGGGGTATGGGTAGCCTACAAGTGGCCACTCCTTTAGATAAAAATTCACCCCCTCCCCCACCAGCTATCAACTGCTTATATCTCCTAGCTAGCCATGGGAGCTTCTGGGCCCCAGTGTTGGAATTTTGACTGGCTTGATCTTGTGTAGTTTTAACTTCAGCTGCTGTGACCCAGTTATTTTCCTCTATTAACCCGTTTTTAGTTTCCTCATTTTTTTGTTTTGTTTTGTTTTTTGAGACAGGGTTTCTCTATGTAGTTTTGGTGCCTTTCCTGGATCTCGCTCTGTAGACCAGGCTGACCTCGAACTCACAGAGATCTGCCTGGCTCTGCCTCGCGAGTGCTGGGATTAAAGGTGTGTGCCACCGCCGCCAAGCATTCCTCATTATTTTTAAGTTTGTAAAATGCACCATTAGTTCGTTCACAGAATCAGATTTCACACCATGATTTAGCATTTGGGAAGCCTTAGAATATACAGTGCTCTGTGTCCACCCCTAACATATGCTGGTGACCCTTCTTACCTCCATCATTCCAATCCCTAAGACTTGCACCAAAGGTAGTCATTTCTCAGCAGCCTCTGAGCTTTGCAATAGGAACCACTTTCTCTTCTCCTCGCAGCTTTGAATAACTTAGAAGCACAGAGCTGTGCTTTTCTTTTTTGGAAGACAGTGCACATGACCTTTTCTGGTTTGATTTAGGGAAAGCCTCTGAAAGAGGCCCAGGGAGAAGTTCTGTATTCAGCCCTTTTCCTGGAATGGTTCTCCGAGGAAGCTCGTCGTATTTATGGAGACATCATCTATACCTCTGCCAAGGATAAACGGGGACTGGTCCTCAAGCAGCCCGTTGGTGTGGCCGCAGTCATCACACCGGTATGTGGCAAGACCGGCACAATCCGGGGTGGGAGCCCGGGTGGGATGGTGGGAAACGGCATCTTCTTCCCAGTGAACAGGTGTGGCCATCGTCCTGCTGGCTTTGCCACCTTCCCTTGGTTTCCTGATGCCTTCCCTGGAGGTAGAGGTGTTTTCACATCCTCCCTGACAGCGTCAGATGTAGTGGCAGAAGTGGGAGTACATGCTTTCCGGTGCCTTCAAAAACCAGGTGACCCGCAGAGGCTTTTCTGACTTGGCATAGAGACTCCATCCTGGTATTACCGAGCTCCTCTGCAAAGACCTTTGAAATTTTGTCATTTTTTTAATGGACTTCAAAGGGGACATTTTCTCTTTATTATTTAGACCATTATTAAAGAAATATGTTTACTTTGTGATTATCATCAATAGGAAAACATTTGTGCTTCTGTGGGTAGGCACAGGGCCAGGTTCTGGAGGTCCCAGGGCTATGAATTAAGATGCTACCTCTGCCCAGGTGGGTTTGCAGTGCACCCATTCCTCCCACCGGGCCTTCGTGGAGCGGCTTGGTGCCAGCTTCTCTCCAGGGTTTGCCAGCTGGTTTTAAGGCTGCTGGCCTCCTCTGTCCAGAACTGTTTTAGATACTCTTCCTTGCTACCTAGACTGATGAAGCCTGCCCTGAAGTTCACTATTGCTGGTCATGAGATGCCTCAGTTCCTCCAAGTCTGTAAATAGAGACAATAATAACAATGAGTTCATTGAGATATCATAAGGATTTAGTTCGTGGGAATTTCAAAATACTTAGAACAATAGCTAAGTTCAAAATACTTAGAACAATACACACTACTCGAGAGTTTGTTAAAATAAGTTACTGTGGGGCTGGAGAGATGGCTCAGCGGTTAGGAGCACTGGCTGCTCTTCTAGAAGATCTGAGTTTGGTTCCCAGCACCCATATCAGATGGTTCACAAGTGCCTGTAACTCCAGCTCCAGGGGATCCAGGCATGTACACACACACACATATCATACATATATACACATACACATAAAGAAGTGAAATTATTATAGACCCATGGATATCTAGTCCCTATAAATATGTGGGTAAAAGGAAGTAAGTCATCAGCCATGTTCGAAGTCACATCACCGATATTTTACTTTAAGAGCCTCAGTCCAAATCTAGCTCAGCCCCTGTGTTTATTAATAAATTTTTATCAGTACACATGGGGTCCATTTGTGAGCCAATTTTTATGAGGCAACTGCAGAGATGCAAAGTTATGACAGAAACTATACATCCTACAAAATACGGCCCTCACGGAACACATTGGTCTAGATAGTTTTGTACCGTATCAAACTCCCAGACTGTGTCCTGCTTCTGTGGACAATGACCTCCTGACTCCCTCAAACTGACCAGGGTCAGGTGTTCTGAGAGCTCACCTGCACAGCAGCAAACAGGTTTGCCAGTGAGTTGTGCAATGGAATTATGACTGACTCTGCCATGCCTTGATTGGATCCTGAGGCAGTCCCCACACTCCCTTCCTGCCTCTTTCTTCCAGTGGAATTTTCCTAGTGCCATGATCACCCGGAAAGTGGGGGCCGCCCTGGCAGCTGGCTGCACTGTGGTGGTGAAACCTGCCGAAGACACGCCCTACTCCGCCCTGGCCTTGGCGCAGGTGAGTCTCTGTGCAGACCAACCAGTGCCCAGGTGGATGCTTCTCAGGGTCAGGAGGAAGCATTTTCGGAATTTCCTTCTCTGCCAGTGATGTCTCCTCCTGTGCACAGAGTGTCTGTCTTGGTCCACAGCAGCTGTCCTACCTCACATGCTGATTTAGGGGAAAAGAAGGAAGGAGGGGAGATTTTCAGGTCCCTATTGGTCACATTTTGATTTGTACTCTAAAAGTGATATTGATCCATCATCATTTTTCATTGCACTAAAAACGTGGGTGTTTCCCACATTAATTTCAGTTTATTTATTTATTTGTTTGCTTATTTATTTATTTATTTTGAGACAGGGTTTCTCTGTGTAGCCCTGGCTGTCCAGGAACTTGCTCTGTAGAGCAGGCTAGCCTCGAACTCAGAGATTCACCTGCCTCTGCTGGGATGAAAGGCATGTGCTGCCACCACCCAGCTTCTCTCTCTCTCTCTCTCTCTCTCTCTCTCTCTCTCTCTCTCTCTCTCTCTCTCATGAATTTTTAAGTTTTTTTTTGGTTTTTACTTTTTTTTGAGATTTATCTGTATTTAGGTATATGTTTGTGTTCTGTGTGTCGTGTTCATGCAGTGCCTGCGGAGGCCAGGAGAGGGTGTTGGCAGCCCTGGAGCTGGCGTTTCACACTTGCGAGCACCCTGGTGTGGGTGCTAAGGACCTAATCCAGGTCCTCGGGAGACGCAGCCAGTGCTTTGAACCATTGAGCCATATCTGCAGCCCCAGGCTTCTTATTCACCACTCCTGACCCTAGTGCGGTCTCTACTCAGGCAAACCGTTTTACTTTTCTGCCTAAACCTCTCAGACGGCTTCCCATGTCACTCGGAGTGAAATGCAGCTTCACTTGGGGGTCTGCGCCACCTCCCAGACTCCAGCACCCTCTGACTTGTCTTCACTTCAGAGCCCCCCCATTCTTCTGTTTGAGCCTCTCTGGTTCCTGCCACCTCTTATATCTGCCAACCTCACCCTCAATTCAGATACTGAACAACCTTCTTCTTCTGGAACATTCTGCCCCAGATGGTCCCATGACACTTGCTTCTTTGTGTATTTTTAAAATACTCGGTTAGTATGCATTATTACTGTGTATAGGTACATGATGAGAGGAATGGGCACACATTCTAGTGTGGAGGTCAGAGGACAACTTTGTGGGCTCCATCCTCCCCTTTATGTGGTCTCCAACTTAGGTCTCCAGGCTTGCTGAGGAAGCGCTTTACCCACTGAGCACCTGGACAGCCCTCTTCACATCTTTATTCTTTACACTTACAGAAATAATGAAGGGGTCGAGCGTGTACTCAGCCTCCCCTACTGTTAATGAAGTGATGGGACGTGCCGCCTCAAAGGGACTCCTTTGGCATATTAGTTATTTTTGAGATGCAGAAAATGTAATTTCACAAAGAACCATTCGGCCTGACTTTTCCTACATGTAACAAGCCAGAAAGGTACTTTTTGGAGGGAACGCCTCACATATTGGACAATGCCATAGTTTACGAGAGACTAGAGCATGAGACTGTAGCGAGCCAGAGTAACCAGACTGTGAAACAGCTGTGTTAGTTTTTGTAGTCCCCAGTCCCCAGGCTCCAGTTGTCTCTCTGTAACATTCATGGAGCACACTGTCCTCTCTGGAGATCCACACATCCTGTTATCCTTCACACATGTATTGTCTAAAGAGTGTGCACATACCAGCCTGCAGTAACTTTTTTCAGACTTTCCTGTCTTGTGACAGTCACTGTACACATATAAATTGCTACAACTTTTATGCTTTTCTTTTGCTAATCAACTTTTATATTCGCTAGAATTCTACATCCAGCCAAAGAATTCACAAAAGAGCTCATAAGAACTAAATGTCACCGGCCTGGTGGTGCAAGCCTTGTATCCCAGCTATTCAGGAGGCTGAGGCAGGAGATTCCAAAATTCAGGGCTAGCCTGGGCAGCTTAGAGAGACACTGTGGTTATTTGAATGTGAAGTATCCCCCAACAGGCTCATGTGTTTGAATGCATGGTCCCAAGCTGGTGAAGCTACTTTAGAAGGTTGTGGGTCCTTTAGGAAGAAGCAGGGCCTCGGAAGAGGAAACGTGCCATTGAGTGCCGTCCCCAAGGTTTTCTGGCCTGGCCCCATCTCGTGTCTGCTGCTCTCTGTTGCTGTGGACACAGCATCACACACACTCTCACATCCATGCCCTCCCTGCTAGGATGGGCTGCATCTCAGCTTAAACCACAGCCAAAAAGAAACCTGCCTCCCCCAAACTGGTCACAATGAGAAAAACAACTAGCAATGGGCATATCTCAAAATAAAGTGTAAAAGCCAGAGCTGGAGATAGATCTCGGTGGTTGGGTACTTGCTTAGCATGCACGAGGCCCTGGGTCCAATTGCCATTACCACAGAAACAATTACCAGTAACAGTAACAAAACAGTTCTAGGTCTATATGTCCATGGCTGTAACTACTCCACACTTGCTCTACCTTTTGCTTCCTCCCCCCCCCCCCTCCACTCCCCCCGCCGGGGCAGACTTAGTTCTGTAAGGAGCTGTGGTTTGCACACTGCCAGTACTTAGTTGATGCCTCTCTGGTCGCTTTGTTCTTGAACATATTTGTGTTAGCCAGCTTTCTGCCACTATAATGAAATGCCTGAGGTGATAGCTTAGGGAGAGAAAAGGTCTGTTTCATTCCTAGGTTTTAGAGGTTCCAGTCCTTGACCCCTGTTCCTTCGTGCCTGTGGTAAGGCAGCACACCACGGTAGGAGCAGCGTGGCAACGCAAACTGTCCCCCTCACAGCCAGGAAGCAAGGAAAAGCGGAAAGGCTTGGCATTCTTCAGTGCCCTGTGGAGGTGTCTGGGCTCCTTTTCTCATTGCTGTGACCAAATGCCTGACTACAGCGTGGGAAGAAGCTCGAGGCTCCAGGGGAGGCCGTCCATCCCGGCCCAGAAGTCCTGTCTACGAGGGCATGAGATGGCTGTCTGAACTGCGTCTGCAGTCACAAGGCGAAGTGAGGTGAACGCCAGAGCTCAGCTGGCTTCCTCCTTTTCCTCTTTTTTATTCAGTCTGGGGACCCCCAGCCCACAGCAGGGGGCTGTCTTCTGTGCTCGGTGGAACCTCTCCTAGGTTATCCTCTACGTAGTCACATCAGCAGTGAAGATCAGTCACCACAGAAAGCAACCCTCCAGTGACCTGAAGACCGCCGGGCTAAGCCACCTCACCTGAAGTCCCTCCACTTGGGAGGCTGAGGCAGCAGGATCCATGTCAGCCTGGAGTAGCTAGGAAGATTCTATCTCAAACAAAACAGACCAGCAGAGGGCTTCCCACTAGACCCCAGCTCCCATCAGAGCCCCCTCGACTTCCCAGTGACAGCACCCTGACAGAAAGCAGATAAAACAAGGTTTTATGTGTTGCATTCATTCTTTCTTTCTCATGTTCTTATAGCTTGGCTGTCATTTCTGAATTTTTTTTACTCTCGATTCTTTTATTGCATTCTCTCACCACATCTCTGATTATTCTGACGGATTCAGGCTGCATCTCCGTTTCTCAGGGTGGCTGTGCCCCATGGTCCCTTGAGCACCTCCGGGCTTCCTTGGGGTCTATCCAGGACTATCCTTCAGTCTCCCTCCTCACACAGGTCCTTATCCCTGGAGATGGCACCTTCACTTGCTTGTAATTTGTCGCTGTGGAAAAATTCGGTCCCCTAGTCTTCTTGTAAACAATGTCCTGATATTTGGGGTTGCTACCTCATTGCCAGTTTGGTTTTATTTTTGTTTGTTTAAATTTTTGTGATTAATGTGCAAAGATATTGGCTTCATGGTTATTGTTTTTATGAGAACAGTGGGATTAAAAACCTTGCAAACTATTCCAGTAATCTCAGCACTGGAGAGGCTGAGGCAGGAGGATGGCCACCAGTTTGAGTCCAATGAGAGTTACAAATGGAAGCTCTGGGTCAGAAATATAACAAATTCAGGACAGACCTGATCCAGAGTCCTGCCATGGAAAGACCCAGGTCCCCAGGTCAGGTGGCTGGGGTCAGGCCCACCCCCACCCCCCTCTCCTCACCTTTGCTGAGGTCCCCCTGTCTATGCCTCCCTTTTTTCAGCTCTGCCCCACAAGGAACTAGCAAGCAGCTTTGCCCCATCGGCAATGGTGAATTCTTTCTAAACACCCTTTCCACACTCTACCCCGGAGTCTACTACAATCAGTCAAAAAGTCCTTGAGATTAGTGTCAGAATCTTCATGAAACCCCAGGTCTGCTGGTGGACTGAACAGGAGGTGGCGCTAAAACTCTTACTAAGATACTGTATTTAGCAATACCTAACGGAGATGCTTAGTTTATACGTGTGTATTTATTCAGGGCGTTAGGAGTATAGCTTAGTGTAGAGTTGTGGTTAGAATGAGACTGTGGGTTTATTTCTTAGCACATATATATCTATATGTATGTGTATACATATACACACAGTCATACATATACATGCATGTATATACAGAACTGAAATAAGGTTTTTATTAGTGCTAATTTTTAATATATGTATATTAATTTTATTACATTTATTTGTCTTTGTGTGTGTGTGTGTGTGTGTGTAGGTCTATACCCAAAAAAGGGCATTGGATACCCTGGAGCTAGAGAGTAGTAAGCTGTGGGTGATGGAAACTAAACTCAGGTTCTCTGAAAGAGCTGCACATGCTTATAACTACTGAGCTGTCTCTCCAGCCCAAAATATATGTCTTTGGGGCATAGGGTCTCCTATAGCTCAGGCCGGCCTTTAACTCACTATGCAACAGAGAATGACCTTGAACTTGTGGTCCCCCTGCCTCTACCTCCCAAGAGTTGGGGTTATAGACATGCACCACCACATCTGGTTCTCCTCGGTATGTTTTTATTCTGCTCCAAAGCAAACTTATATTTTACATTGTGTTCTGGACTAAGCATGTTTATTTCTTATTTCGTGTTTTGTTTTCCAGTCCAATCCTTCTCAAAGTGTTTGCTCTTTCTCTTTAAAGCTTGCGAACCAGGCTGGAATCCCTCCAGGGGTCTACAACGTCCTTCCCTGCTCTAGAACCAAAGCCAAGGAAGTGGGGGAGGTACTGTGCACCGATCCATTGGTGTCCAAAATTTCCTTCACTGGCTCAACCGCGACCGGGAAGGTATGTGACGTCGGAGTCGAACAAGTGCGGGTGGTTCTAGGGCTTTCTCTTTATAGAGCACGGAGTCGCTACTTTATGTTTTTGTTTCGTTTGATTGGAAACAGGGTCTACATAGCCCTGCTGTCCAGGAACTTGCTATGTAGACCAGGCTGGCCTTGAACTCACAGAGGCCCGCTTGTCTCTGCCTCCCAAGTGCTGGGACTAAAGGAATGTACCACCACACCTGGCCAGTCATATAAATTTTGAATTGATGTTATGGTTCAAAACTCAAGACAGTGTTGGCATTGTTCACCGTTGGCATTGTTTACCACTGGCATTGCCCCAGCTCATAGTTTCGCTGACTCCTTCCTCGTCTTCTGTAAATAATTGCTTTTAGTTTCCTACCACCTTCCTAGTAGATTTTTTAAATCAAATCTAATGAAATAAGAATCTGTAGTCTCCAGAATACGTTGTGTACATGTATGGAATTCTCAAATAATTTATAAATAAATAAATAAATATTAAAAATAATGTATTATTGCTGGGCACTGGTGGTGCATGCCTTTAATCCCAGCACTCGGGAGGCAGAGGTAGGCAGATCTCTGTGAGTTTGAGGCCAGCCTGGTCTATAGAGCAAGTTCCAGGATAGGCTCCAAAGCTACAGAGAAACGCTGTCTGGAAACACGCCCCCCCCCCCAAAAAAGTAATAATCCATTATCATGTCTCCCTTTTCTTATATAAAATAATATCTAAAGCAAGGTGATCTTGTGTACACCTTAAAATTTTCATTATTGGGTCATTTTTTTTTTTTCCGAGACAAGGTTTCTCTGCGTAGTTTGGTTCCTGTCCTGAATCTCTCTCTGTAGACCAGGCTGGCCTCAAATTCACAGAGATCCACCTGGCTCTGCCTCCCGAGTGCTGGAATTAAAGGTGTGCACCACCACCACCTGGCTCATTATTGGGTAATTTTGTAAAACAAATTACAATTTTTTTTTAAAACAATTTCCAGTTTTTTAAAAACAGGTTTAGCAGCCTTACATGTTAGTTTGCTGTTGTTACAAAATACATGAGAAAAATAACTTAAAGGAGGAGAGGAAGATTTGAAAGATGTTTTGGAACGTGCTTTAGGAGGTTTCAGCCCATGGTCAGTTGGCTCCGTTGCTTTTAGCCCTGTAATGAGGCAGAAGCATCATGGCAGGAGGCATTGATGGAGAAGAGAGGTCCAGGACCAAACACATTTCCCCGTGACCTCCTTCCTGGCTAGACCCGCTATGAATAGCCCACTCAGCTGTGAACTCCTGATCTAATCCCCTCTCACTGGGGTCACCAGCTGGACATCTAAGCCATCAGGGAAGAAGGTACTTGCTATGCAAACAGAAACACCCTCTACATTGATTTAGATGTTCACAGTGTTGCCCTGCTGCACCCCTGCAGATCCTGCTGCACCATGCAGCAAATTCTGTGAAGCGTGTCTCCATGGAGCTGGGCGGCCTCGCCCCATTCATCGTCTTTGACAGCGCCAACGTGGACCAGGCTGTCGCGGGCGCGATGGCATCTAAGTTCAGGAATGCTGGGCAGGTAAGTCATCCAGAACGTTTTAGGGCTGGCGTAAGGGCAGGTGTCTGTGTTTTACAAAGACCCCAGCACCACTGTGGCCTTGCCTCTCTCCCTGGCTCCTTTGTGAATTCAGGTGCTCATTCTGTGAGCAAGCATTTAATGAGCAGTTTCTCTCAGGCACTAGTTAGGCTTGGATTGTCCAAAGGGAAGTCAGAGATAGTTTGTTGCTTCAGAGAGTTTCGAGAATTGCATGTCTTTATCTATATCTATATCTATATCTATATCTATATCTATATCTATATCTATATCTGTATCTATATATATGTATATGGTGTATGTATACACATGTGTGTAGGCCTATGACCCTTTTGAGCGTGTGCAGAAGCCAGAGGAGGATGCCTGGTGTCCTACTTAGTTGTCCTGAGGGACTAGGGGAGCTTATACACTTGCCTAAAAAAAAAAAGTGCAGTCCAAGAAGCCGAAGATCTTGGCTTCATTTTTACAGACAGGAGCTCCCCTTGTAGCCCAGCCTGGCACTGAACTTGCTCTGTAGCACAGGCCATCTGGGAAACAAAGCCCCTCCTGGAATTAGAAGGTGTGTGCTGCTTTGTCCGGCCCAATGGGCTTCTTAAATGCTGTCCTGAGATAAATAGCCTCTAAAGTTTATATGCGAAAAGGGAAGCTGGTGGTGTAAACTATTCTGTAGAACTTTTCTTCCTTGTTTTGACTTTTGGTAATTAATTTTTCCTTTTCACATAACCTAAATAGTTTTTTGTTGTTGTTTATTTGTTGTTGTTGTTTTTGTTACAGAATTAGAATTTTTTTAAGCAAACACAAAATGTCAGCAGAGTTCTATACAAAGCTATGGCTTTGAACTGTGTTAAACCAATAAAAAATGCATAGGACACAATTATGCATATACTTATTTCTACTAGGAAAACACAATGAGGAAAAACAAATTTATCAATGATAACTACATTTCCTATAGTATGCTTATATTTTATCATTTTAAAGATAACAAGCCAGAGTCTTAATATTTCAATCTGACATGGAAGATGGCCTTTTTTTTTTTTTTTTTTTTTTTTTTTTTTTTTGGTTTTTCAAGACAGGGTTTCTCTGTGTAGCTTTGCGCCTTTCCTGGAACTCACTTGGTAGTCCTGGCTGGCCTAGAACACACAGAGATCCACCTGGCTCTGCCTCCCGAGTGCTGGGATTAAAGGCGTGCGCCACCACCGCCCGACAGAAGATGGCCTTTTAAAAAAAGATTTTTTTATTCGCAAACATTCAGCCTTCAGCCAATAAACTCTAAAGTTGCAAGTTTATGAGTTTTCAAAAAAAGATTAATTTTTGTTTTATAAGTGTGAGTGTTTCTCTGCCTGCATGCATGTACACTATATATGTGTCCATTGCCCTGAGAGGCCAGAAGAGGACATCTGAGCCCCAGAACTATTGTGAGCTTCCATGTGGGTATCAGGAACTGAACCTGGGTCCTATGCAAATACTCCTAACCTCTGAGCCATCTTTCCAGGTCCCCTCATAATTTTTTATTGTTTTTTGGCAGTACTGGGAATAGAACCCATGGCCTATGCATACCAGGCAAGCAATCTACCATAAAACTTCATCCCCAGTCCTTTATTATTATTACTATTATTATTGTTATCATTATTATTAATTATGTATATAAGTGTGTGCCCATGTGGGGCCAGAAGAGGACATCAGTTCTTATAGACCTGGAGTTACAGGCAGTTGTTGAACTGGCCAACATGGGTGCTGGGAGGTCCTCCTACAAGAGCAAATAACTGCTGAGCCATCTCTCTGTCCCCAAAAGAAAGACCTCGTATCCATTTTTGAAATCACAGATTCCGCAGAACACTTGGAAGGATTGGCTGGAGGATATGCGTTATTGTTTGACCTCATATCTGTGCTCTCTGCTGCGGCAGCCCTACTCCTCAGGAACATTACAGCCTCTGCTTTCTAATAGTATATTGAATGGCTACTTTTCTGGTTATTTGGGTTTTGTTCACACATCTATTTATTCTTATTTCTGTGTTTAGCTCTACATGTGTGGTAGCTATGGGAAGAATTGGACAGGTGTGTCACTCGGGGGATTCATTCCCCACCTGGGAAGGACATAGAAGGCTGGACTCATGAGAACCATTTCGGGAAGGGTTGTCTTACATTTCTTGGACCAGCCGCTTCTGAAAAACTCACTGGATTTGTTTTGTCTTCTGTCTAGACCTGTGTTTGCGCAAACAGATTCCTGGTACAGCGGGGTATCTACGATTCCTTTGTAAAGAAGTTTGCAGAAGCGATGAAGAAAAGCCTGCGTGTGGGTAACGGATTCGAGGAAGGAACAACTCAAGGCCCGTTGATTAATGAGAAAGCAGTAGAAAAGGTGAGTTGGGCCTAATATCTGCATAAAGGAAATTTTGTAATGTCAGTATTAAAAGCTTAGTTAAATAAAAGCATTTCCATAAGGTCCCCAGCAAGGCTGTTTTGGAAATAATGGGGAAATGCAAAAAGGTTAAAAAAAAAAGAATTCCTACCACTACCAATGTGTCTGGACGGTGATGTCTGGACATGCTCTTCCTGCTCCGCCTGAGAACCTGAGATTGGACCCATTAGGTCTTCTGCCCTCCCTAAGTTTTCTGTCATAAGAAGCTTTTTCCTTGATGTCCTTCCAGAAGAATTTTAACGTAGACACCCCAAAAAAAAGGCACATAGAATCACAGGCATCCCACAGGTAAGGAATGACAGAGGGAAGCTCCTTGTAGGAAGCGATTGTTTGCTGAATGTCACAGTCTGGGTGACCAGCAGGGTGAGCTTTCTCTTGGTTACATTACGTGTGTTTGGCTTTCGCTTCATTTTTACTACGTTTATTTACTCGGTGTGTCTGAGTGTGAGTTTTGGGGGGCAGGGCACATGTGTGCCACAGCACAGGTACAGAGATCGTAGGACAATGTGCTAGAGTCCTTCTCTCTTCCACCACCTGGATCCCAGGGAAAGAACTCAGGTTCTCAAGATTGGCAGCAAGCACAGTGACCTGCTGACCGATCACCAGCCCTGGTTTTAGCTATTTTAATCTGTTTAAGTTATCGTTAAAATTAAGGGTTTCATCTTGGCATTCTCATACATGTATTTCATTAGACTTTCTTCTCATCCCTTCCCTGCCTACCCTCCTCCTCCCAGTTCCCTTCTTGCTCATTCCTTCTTCCCCCAAGTAGTCCCCACTCTGCTTTTATATCACATATGTTCATGCTTTGTTCTACTGGTTTTTTTTTTTTTAAATCTTTTTAAGAATCAAAAAGTGAGGGAGCCAGAGAGGTGACCTAGAAGTTAAGAGCCCTTACTTCTTTTGCTAGAGTTACAGGCAGTTGTAAGCTTCTCAACATGGGTGCTAGGGACCAAACTTGAGTCTTCTGCAAGAGCAGTAAGTGTTCTTAACCACTGAGCCATCTCTCCGGATTCCCTGGAATGCCCTTTGATTGTGTGGCTTTCTCTTAGGCTTGATTTGATCTTGAGTTGTCCTGTTCATCAGTGCCTTTGGAGCAATAGGCTACACCACATATAGCCTACACACACACCATATAGGCTAGGTGTGCAGCATGCCAGACTGATGGGTTTGTATCAAAATACTGTATGCTGTTTATTCAATAGTGAAATCAGCTAAGGACACATTTCTGAGAACATCTACCATAGGTAAGTAATGCCTTTGTGTTGGAGATGTAGCTAAACGTCCCTTCAACCCTGATAACAGTGGACGAGTGAATCTAAGAAAGTACAACCAGCCCAGCTTGCCGAGAAGGCAAAGCTCAGAGAAACCCTGGGCTTTCCAGAGCTGGTTCTCTCTCCCACCACATGGGTCCCAGGAATTGAACCTTGATTGTCAGGCTTGCATGCATGCATGCTTGCCTATTTATAGGGAAACAGAGAAAAAAACAACAACAACAAACTATGGCTTTTGCTGTTTAACATTTTAAGAGATTGTACAGTTTGGAAAATGTCCTCATCCCGCCTTCCCTCGTGCCCTTCTTCTCATCTCACAGGTAGAAAAGCATGTGAATGACGCAGTGGCCAAGGGGGCCACCGTTGTGACAGGTGGGAAGCGACACCCAAGTGGGGGAAACTTCTTTGAGCCCACGCTGCTCAGCAATGCCACCACGGACATGCTCTGCATCACCGAAGAGACCTTTGGGCCTCTGGCGCCGGTTGTCAAGTACGTTCCTGTGTGGTGGGAGGAAGGAAGATTGGAAGGAAAGCTAGTCTGAGAGAGGTTCCTGTGCTGTCTCAGGGTGGGGTGGGAGGCCTGAGCAGCTGCAGGCAGAGTTGCCCTGTATCGGTTGAACAGCACAGCTGAGTTTATGATATTTTGGTTTTGATTTGGGGGCTGTGGGTCAGCCCTGGGTGTCGTTTCTTGGCTGCTATCCACCTCAGATTTTTAGACAGGGTCTCTCACTGGGCCTCTCTAGTTAGAGTAGACTGGTTAGCTAACAATTCCAGGGATACTTCTTGGTCTGTCTCCCCGAACCTGGGATTATAAGCACAGGCCACCAAACTGGGTTTTCACATGGGTTCTGGGGGTCGAACTCAGCACTTCCCCAACAGAGCCAGATATCTCCCTAGTCCCTGGTCCCAGCTTTGGTGTTTGTCTTTTGTCTTTGTAACCCAGGCTTGCCTTGGACTCTCAGCCTTCTTGCCTCAATCTCCCGAGTGTTGAGATGATAGACATATGCCACACCCAGTTTCAAGCACAAAATTCATCAAACTCCATTTTGTCTCCTGCTGCCTCTAAACTTACTTCCCTCCCCCACCCCCCCCCACCCCCCACCCCCCCGATGAGGAATACCTTCAAGGGCTCTATCTCAGCAGTCTAGAGGTAATGAACTTGGACCTCATGTGATCCTTTTTCCCATCTTAACAAGTAAATAATAGTTCTCAGATCAGTGCTCTGAAAACATTCCTTTAGCTACTTGGATCCAGGGCCTGGAAGGGCTCAGAAGAGAGTGTCAGGTCTCTGGGACTGGAGTTACCAGCTGTGAACCACCATGTGGGTACTAAGAATTGAACCCAGGTCCCCTGCGAGAGCAGCAAGTACTCTTTACCAATGAGTACCCCTTTTTTAAACATTGTTTGGCAGCATCTCTGCCAAGTTGGTCTGCTTCTCCTTTCTCTTGGCAAAGGCGGGCCGCACTGATCTACCGCGTCTTGGAGAGGGCTCAGTTGCCATGCCTGTGTTTGTGCTTCCTTCTTGTATTCTCCCCCTTGGACCGACCACTTTGCAACCCTGACCTCCTTCTTGTCGGTATTTAGGAAATGAATCAGGAGAAGATAAAGCTGGCTGTGTTTCCTCTTCACCTTAAGGATTTTGCTTATGACCTACTTTAACTCTGGCAGGTTTGACAAAGAAGAAGAGGCCATTGCCATCGCAAATGCAGTCGATGTTGGATTAGCAGGTAGGTGTCTGTCTGGAAGCCACCATAGTCATCTCCTCAAGTCAATGCCAGGTTCTGCACTGGCTTTGAACTCCGGAAATCTACCTGCCTCTTCTGTCTCAGAGAGCTGGAATTAAAGGCAATCACCACCTTGCCTAGCAAACTTAAAAAGTCGTATGCTTTGTTTCTTTACAAGTGGCAAAAGTGGCCTTGTACAAACATGTTCCTTTCTCCTGTGACCCATGACACACATGTAGGGCGTTCTGGCTAGAGCTGAGGGTGGGAGACAATGGGGGGGGTGCAGATTGTTCTAGGTGGAGAGTCACATGCAGTTTCCCAGAGACATAATGCTCAGTACTTTTTTTCACATTTGACTTGTCCTGGTATCCCGAAGAAGCCTCATCAGCAGAGTCATGGACAGTGTCTAGAGATGGGAAGAGTGTGTGTGTGTGTGTGTGTGTGTGTGTGTGTGTGTGTGTGTGTGTGTGTTGATCATCACTAAATGGCTGCTGTTCTTTCAGTTTGGAGATGATACTGAGAAAATGTGCTCATTGGCCCTGGGTATAAATGCAGAACTGTGGGGTACAGAGGTATAATTTATCATTTCTCGGCCTTTTTGCTAAAATCACATGTAGAGACACACATAAGATACAGCTGAAGCTCTCTAGAGACTCCTTTGTGAACATAACACAAACTGTTTATAGAGAGGAAGACAAGCATGCTGTCACATACTCAGTTGTGGTAATGCTGGAGCAACGTGTGGCCCAAGGCTTCTGCAAGATCAAGAGCAGCACCTCCTCCTTTTTCAATGGTGTGATGTGGAGGAAGCCATGCCTTGCCTTAGGTCCTACGTGATTGCTGCAAGCTGCAGGAAAACGTAATGGAATTCAGCTACTATCACAAAAGCTACTACTTGGAAAAGTCAAGGACTTCTCCAAGGGTCAAGCTATGGCTTAAGAAGTCTTGGTGATATTTTAGTCTTTGTACATATATATTAGCTAGTTCCTAAAGTGATTTTCTTGTGTGCTTCCAAGAACTCCTAACAGTGTATTTATCCAAAATGCCTATCAAGCATATAAGGCCAAACAAAACACTTGTCTCCTACGTCAGGTGGATAGCTTTATTTCTTGTGCAATTTAGGGTGAGACCCTTCTTCCTTATAGCCTTACTAATAGACTCCTAATTTCTTACCTAACCACTTCTAGGAATGTAGATTGAGCACATAAATTCCCATCTTGATATACCAACTGATCATTAGCTCTCTATTGACCTCCTCCTTTACCCTTCCCCCTTTTGGGTTGTAAAAGAAAGCCTGGTGGTCACTGCCTGAGGAAAATTCTTACCTGCTTTTAAGACCCCGTAAGAATTCAAGCCTGGTGACTTTGCTCTAGAGAAGATTAGTATTACTTGGGTTTATAACTGGATTCCTAAGAGACTTAGGGAGAACTGAGAGAATACGGAGAACTGAGAGGTAGAAGGAGAGAGAGGAGGATTTTTGAAGAGAGAACTTGAAGATGAGACAGAGAAGAGAAAAGAGAACGGAAGAACTAGATGGGTAAGAACTGGAGAGGAATGAACTGAGATGAGAAAGAACTAGACTAAAGGGCTAAAAGAGAGTACCAGAGGAACAAGATGGAAGATGAGGAAGAGCCAGATGGGGACGAACAAGATGAGAGAGAAGGAGATGGGAGAGGAGCTGATATGGGAAAGAACTAGATGGATGAGAACCTAGATGGGGTAGAACTAAGATGAAGGAATTAAGATAGAACCTAGAGAAGACAGCAGATAAATGTAGAGAGAAATCAGGCAAGAAAGGAGCTAGGCACGAGAGAAGAATAGAAGCTGTGTAGAGAGAGAACTGACACAGAATAATAAAGTATATGGACTAAGGAGTTTCATGTACATAGATTCATTTCTTTTCATCAAGATTAAATTATCAGCTGGTTGTAGATTCTTCCTGGGATCCTGGGAGGGGATTATCGAGGGGCTGGACCCCACAGTCTCCGATACATGGTAAGTAAGATGCTGACTGTGCAGAGATTACAGAATCCAGGCAGAGAGGCCCAAGCTAGTTCACTGCAGCATGATAACGAGATGACCCTGAACCGGATGGGTCTGGAGACAGTGGCTATCAACTGGAGTCAGGAGTAAGCGGAGAGGGCTGACTGCGGCCACGCTGGGGGCAGGACTGATTGCCCACTGAGAAATGTGCCCTTGTTCTATAGACAGCTAGGGCTGACCGCGAGGTCTGAACATGTTCTCCAGATATCTAAAGGAGGGTAGATTGAAGAGCAAGAAACAAGAACACGGAAGTTCATGGTTACCAAGTCCTGGAGGGAGTAGGGAGAACCCCAGCAAGAGAAAAACAGAAGCCCAACAGGATGCCCCAGGTTCTTAGGATGAAAATGTGGACAAAAACAATCTGGGGCTTTACCTGCAAACAGGAGAACCCCAGGTCCATGTGACTAGGCATCCTCAGTCGGGCACATGTGACCTTCACGAGCATTCCTCATGCTGTATATGTCCTTTTGTTCCTCTGCTAGGGTACTTCTACTCTCAAGACCCAGCCCAGATCTGGAGAGTGGCGGAGCAGCTGGAGGTGGGCATGGTCAGCGTGAATGAAGGACTGATCTCTTCAGTGGAGTGTCCATTTGGTGGGGTGAAGCAGTCTGGCCTTGGGCGAGAAGGGTCCAAGTATGGCATTGACGAGTATCTTGAGGTCAAGTATGTGTGTTATGGAGGCTTATAGGGTTCTTCACTTCTTCAAAAAAGAATAAAACTACCTAGATCTATAGGGACATGCCATCCATCTTTTAAAATAAACAAGTAGGTTATCAGAGTTATGAATTTTTAAAAATTCAGCCAGTCCTCATCATCTTAGACATAAATCCCAACCTCCCCCTTATTTAACTAGGGACCAATGGATGCCATATCCCTGTGGCTGTGGGCCCCAGCCAGTCCTGGGACCCCAGCACAACTCCACTGCCTCAGGAAGGTACAGTGTGAGTGCTCACATGTCCCTGACCCTCACAAAGGGTAGTCACTGTGGGCAGTGGCTCCCCAGTCCCCATGGGACTGCCCAACTTGGGCCCAGAATACGGGGGAGGAAATGCTGGAGTGATAGACAGTTGGATGGGGGCGGGTCACATCCAGGCCTGGGCGTCTGTTGGTTTGGTGATGAGCATCTGCCTGTTCTGAGGGGTTGTGGTAAAGGCTTTGATTTCCTAAGACTTCTCTGTAAACAGTACAGGATTGCCTTGTACTGTATGGAGAGTGGGGGTGTTTCTCCTTGTTTCTGGTCAGCTTTTCTGGTTTTTGTTTGTTTGCTTGTTTGTTTGGGTTTTTTTTTTTCCTTTGGTTTTTTGAGACAAGGTTTCTCTGTAGCCCTGGCTATCCTGGAACTTGCTCTGTAGACCAGGCTGGCCTTGGACTCCTTGATCCGCCTGCCTCTGGGATTCAAGGCCTGGGCCACCACCAGCAGGCTCTGGGCTGTTTTTTAACTGCTGGAAGCAGGGTTGGTTTGTTTTTGTTCTGTTTTGGTTCATTGTCATTTGGTTTGCTTTTATGAGACAGGGTCTTGCTAAGCAGCCTCGGCTGGCTTCAAACTCACAATTCTACTCTTTCAGCCTCTCGAGTGCTGGGGTTACAGGCGTGATCTTCCACACCTGGGTAAATGGAAGTCTCCACTGCCCTAAACTTAGTTTATGCTTTGTTTCATTTCTCTTAGAAAATCAACCCAAGCTTGGGGGCAAACAGCAGCAGAGGTGTTTGGCAGGACGAAGCACAGCTGTTATTTCTTTTCTAGGGCTAGGTGTTGAATCAATGCCCTTGTACACACTAGCATGTGTCCTACCACTGAACTACCCGCAACATGTTTTCTTTTGTTTTCATTTTCATTTTGAGACAGAGTCTTTGTAAGTTACACTGACAGGCCTTCTTGAGCTTTTTATCGTCCTGCCTCAGTTTCCTGACAGGCCTGCACCACCAGGCCAGGCCAGTGGAAAGCATGGACTCTCAGCTGTTCCCAGTGCTGTGCAGCTCCACTGCCTGGGTGTGCTGTTTAGAATGCCATGCCCCACTTACAGAGATTCATGCTTGGCGTACACGGCACTGTGAGCCTGAAGGAAGTGAAAATGCCTCACAGATACTGAAAACGCAGCTTGAGGACAGGAACAGTTTTGATTCTGAGCAGTACCACCCTGCCACACCTTGAGCTCGGGTAGTGGCTTTGTGGAGGAAGGAAGCCAGGTGCCCACGTGTTCACCTGCCTACCTCTGAGCCAGGTTTTCTGTCCCTGGGGACACCTGCTGCTAAACTCCAAGAAGAACAAAAGCACTTTCACCACGGTGAAAAATGATTTCCATAATTGCCAGTCCCCTGTGGAAGAGAGCTGAAGCCATGAATCCCCAGCACTTTTGTCCTAGTAAAAGTAGTTATGGTTCATGATTAAAAACAAAACAAAACAAAACAAAACCATACCTGGACCTGTAAGATAGCTCAATGGATAAAAGCTTTGCTGGACAAGCCTGGGGACCTACCTGAGTTCAGTCTCCAGAACCTACTTAAAGATGGGAAGGGAGAACCAACCCCACATTGTCCTCTGACCTCCACAAGTGCAACAAAGGCATGTGCGCTTGCGCGTGCGCGCACCCCCCCCCCCCAACCCCCTTGTAACTGGTATTGGTCTCACTTTGAAACTATTTAAATGAGGAAAAGTCTAGGTTCCCATCCACCTAGAAGCTGTTTATTCCCAACAGGCAGCAATGGAGCTCCCTGCCCCACGCCCGCTCCCTGTGTAGAGCCTACTCACATACTCTGTGGAGGCTCTGGCTCTGAGAAGCCAATGTGGATGACAGCAGAGCTAGCTGCAGCGATTCCTAAACACTATAAAGTCCCAAGCCACTGGGAGCTTCAAATAAGGAATTCATGGTTTTAAAAGTTCCTGTGCACAAGAAGTAGAAATCTGCCTCCTAGGGACGCCGCCCAAGTGGCAAGAGTCACAGCTGAGCATGTTCATAGTCTGTTTCTGTCCTTGTCTTGTATAGTGTGTCGCTGGTTTCTATCGCATTTTCTAATTAATTTTTTTAAAAAAAGTTTTATGGATGTATTTTGCCTTCATGTATGTCTGTGCACATGCATACTGGTGCCCTCAGAGGCCAGAAGAGGGCATCATCAGATCACCTAGAACTGGAGTTACAGACAGTTGTAAGCCACCATGTGGACCCTGGGAAAGTGAACCCTGGTCTCCTGAAAGAGCAACCACTGCTCTTGACTGCAGAGCCATCTTGCTAGCCCCAACATTTCTCATTTCTTAAGATTTGTGCCCATCTTTTTTCAGTTAATACAAATGCTCTGCTGTTATTTTGTAGAAGATAAATACACATGCTGAGATATGAATAGAAGTCATTTGTTTAAACAGTGTCAGCCAGGGGGTTCTTGGACTGTGTGGCAATTACTTTCTTGTGCATATTTGACTCACTGGGTATATCACTGGCCCAGACATTTGTTACAATAAATGTAAATCAATTTTTGTAATGAAAATAATGGGGGCGGGTAGCAGTGGTAAAGTATATACTTAGCATGCTGGAAGCCATGGGATTAATCACCACCACTGAAAATAAGTTAACATGAAAGAACATCTTACTTAGAAAAATGGTTTTGGGTTATGGGAAGACAATATTTGGGGGGGTTTATATATATTTTTTTAAACAGGAGCTCTTGTTGGCCTTAAACTCCTAGACTCAAATGATCCTCCTGCCTTAGTCTCCCGGATAGTTGCTACTATAGGCATGTTATCACCAAATCAATTAAGTTTTTTAGTTTGTAGGGGTTTTCATTGAGTTTGGGTTTCATGTAGTCCAAGCTCACATTGAGACTCTCTTGCCCTGACTGCCTGTGCTGGAACTACACATATATAACTACCGTGCCCAGCTAAAAGATGTTTTTTAAGTGAATGTCTTATGGTTCAATAAGATATGTGATAAGTGGAATTTTTGAAGATGTATATACAGAAGTGTTGAACCACAACCTGTGAGCCAAATCCTACCTGCCACCTGTTTTTGTATAACTCGTGAGTTTCAAGTGTTTTATATATTCAGATGGATTGCGGTAGGCTAGAACAGTTATTTCCTAAAATCCCAGAGTCTGTGGATGAACACAGCCTCCGTGCCCTGTGCCTGAGTAGCTTTGCTGAGACAGTATGGCCAACAAGATTTACTGCAAAGCTGGTCTACAAGCCCTCATCTGTACCAAGAGGGGGACAGTGGCCTCCATGTTTATGAGACATAAGTTCATTCGCTTGAACACCTCCTGTGAAGAAGGCACATTTTCTGGGCATCTGTTACCAGGAGTTCTTGGCAGTAATCATCAAATAACCCAAAGGATTAGCCTGATAATCCTGTCCCCTTGAAAGGCACTATTTGCTCCAGCTAGTGGGGCCCACTGAAAGAGCCAAAGTTCATCGTGTCTTTTTCCATCTGAGGGGCCTTTCAATATGACCCCATAGGAAGTGCTTGTTTCTTTCTGTATCTTTGTTCTTTGGGACTCGGTAAAAATAAAGATCAGACGCACAATGTAAACAAGCCTATTCTGTGATGTCACAGCCTTCAAATTGGTTCCCTTGGGCTTGCCTCTCTGGAGGCTGGGTCCCAGTGTTTTAATTACCCATGTGCAGCTACTTAAAAACAGAATATTACTTGAATAATACTTAATACTGTGATCGTTTCACGCCATACTTTGTGAGATAAATCTTGGGGATTGATGAGAAATATTTTGCTTTGTAAACACGGATACGTTGACTCATTTTTCTAGTGTTTGACATTGTCTGGTCAACAGAGTTGAATCTCATTAATAAATGTTGAACTAACAGGCCTTCCTAGCTCTGTGTCAAAGTGAGTGGCTGTGGTGTTTTTGCCATTTTCTACACCAGATCGTTGTTGAGTTTTTACTGCATAGTGTTAGACCAGTGTGGATATGAAATTGTAATTCCCCACCAACGAGCCCTGGATCAGTGAGTATCTTGTGCTGGGACAAGGGCTTAGCAACACCAAGAATTCAAGAACTACGGATGTGCTTGTTTGGGATGTGCAGCTGCCTAAGGGCGTGCTCCAGTCTTCTTTAATCAGTCTTCTTTAATCAGTCTTCTACACACGCCACTGTTAGCCACTTTTCCAGGCTTTTATTTTACAGAAAAGTATGAGAAAGGCATTTTCTGAGTCCCTGATATCCGGATAGGATCCTCAAATATGAACACTTGTCTGAGTGCATTTTCTGTTGCTGATAACACAATACCATAGCTCTCGTAAGTAGTATTGTTTTGGCTCATGGCTCTGGTACAAGGTCAAGGCATTTGCCCTTGCTAACAGAGTCCCTAGGCAGTGTAGGGCATCACATGCAAAAGACCGGATCAAACTGGCCTTAACAGTAGGCCCACTGTTAAGACGCTGCATTAATCCACTGAATTCATGGGTGGTTGCATCCATGAAGACAAAGCCCTAGTCAGCTCTGGAAAGGTCCCATGACCCCGCCTCCTGGGCCTACAGCCTACAGTTGGCCCTTTCCGTGTTTCCCCGCTGGGCCCGTGTGCCCCTGGGAACCATCTGTGGGGTCTAGTCACCTCATGACACCACTAAAATTGGGTAGGGACCCACCCTTACAGCCTCATTTTAAGTCACTCTTAAAGGACTCATCTCTTCATACATTCTAGAATTTGGGGGTTAGGAGTTCAACGTACGGGTTTGGCAACCGTCATCCCTCAAGTTGGGACTTGGAATGTTAACATGAGCTCCCCTTCCCCTCACCATCCCCAACCCCCAATGCGTCCATTTAAGAAGCAACCATTTAAGGAACGTCCATTTAAGAAGCAACCATTGAAGGAACGTCCATTTAAGGAACTCCAGGCAGAGCCTTGATCAGGGTTGAACAGAAACCAGGACAAGGGCAAGCTCCCAGGTCTCCAGGCGCAGAGTTCCCCTCAGGTTCCAGCTGGACATAATGAAGGCAGGAGGGTAGTACTGCTTCACAAGTCATCGAGATAGAAAGGGTTGGCTGTGGACTTCGTGCACTTCCTCAGTATCAGTATCGGGGCCTGCAGCCTTAGTACATACCGCAGCTCACAGACCCAACGTCTTCCCCTTCCCCGCAGAGTGCACAGGGATTGGCCTCAGAGGGGCACCTGGCAGGCGCTCAGGCAGCCCCCGACCCCCGCGGTGCGGGTACTAAGCTCGCCTAGTGGGGCTTTCTCCCCCAGGGCGCCACGACCTGGATGAACCCCAAGTCATCTCAGAGGGTCTCCTCCAACCCCTGGCTTCCGATGAGTTCAGGAAGAAACAGCTGATGAGGGTGACATTAGCCCTAATGACGGAGGCCAAGCCAAATCCCAAGGAACCGGAGACACAGGCAGACACTGGCATGGCCACACCAGGGGCAATTTCCTTCACATGCCGGGAGGTCCATCCATTTCTGCCTCCGGAGGTCCATCCATTTCTGCCTCCCGAGGAGTCACTTCAGCCATGGGAAAGCAGAACGCAGGAGAGCTGGAAGCCTCTTCCTCTAAGAAAAAACGAAGTGTTCTCTGGGGCAAGGGAGGAAGCCGACCTAGAAAGGAAAAGGGGGCAGGGGACACACATAGTTAGACCTTTGAGAAACATTTTTAAAATTATTTTCGTTTTCACAAGGAAAAGAATGTGTTAACCAGCTTTTTCTGTCACTGGCCGCAATACCTGAGATGATGAATTTACAAAAGAAAGGGTCTATTCTGACTCACCGGTCTAGCCCACTTCTGCGAGCCGCTTGCTCTGGGAGCGGGGGGGGGGGGGGGGCCAGGCTGAGCACCAACCTTCCCTGGGCAGAGGAAAACGGTTCCCAGGGCGGGTGGAGAGGCAGAGCGAGGAAGGCGCGCACCCAGTGAGGTCACTTCCTCCCACCGGACCCCCACCTCTTAAAGTTTCCAGTGCCTTCCAGCAGTAGCAGGGTCTGGAGATCAAGCCTTCCACACACTACCCTTGTAGATCCGAACAGTGGCCAAAGATCATTGTTGTTGAGATGATTCTCATTTACTTTTAGAAAACTCAGTAAAATACGGAATTCTTGCAGGACAGTGATGATCAAAGGGACTTTTAATTCATATACGTAAAGAGTAGCAGTCGAAGTCTCTGAACAGGACCACAGTTTACCCCAACAAAATTACTAACAGACTGATTGATGTAAACACCTTGGAGACAACTTCCTGGCAGAGCAAGTTCAAAAATTAATCCATACAGCATAATTCTTCAAAACTAGAAAATTCAAGGGCATCTGATAGTAAGGTTTAAGGGAAGGTGTGCCTATGAAGGGTCGCACAGAGTCTTTTGGGATGACGTACCTATTAGCTTGATTACAGAGATGGCCGTACATCAGAATCTATCAAATTATGTTTCGTGTATGCAATTTATTCTAAGTGAATTATACCTCAAAATACTTTTAAATTGTTTAACCTTTTTCCCCCAGTGCTGTGAATTGAATTTAAGGTCCCACACACTCTAGGTAAGAGCTCTCACTGAGCTGTATTCCCAGTCCTAAATTGGCTTTGTTTTTGACAAACAGTAAGTCAGGGCTGTGCATGGTGGCACAAGCCTTTAATCCCAGCAATCGAGAAGCAGATTGCTATAAACTGCAGGCTAGCCAGGGCTACACTGTTAAAAAAAAAAAAAAGCCGAATGTAGTTGAGCACTGCTGGCTTAAATCTACTCATGACACTACCACAACTGCCACTTACAGTCTGCCCTTGCCAGCAGGGGACAGACTGTCCTTTAATCCTGAGAGATGAATTTGCTGAGCTGAAAATGGTTAATTCAAGCTGCCTGTCTGGCCTCAGGAATGACTATTGGGTCCTCTGGGCTTCAGAAACTGTGTCTTCCTGTACAGGTCCAGATAATAAGTGTTTTAATCTTTGTTTTTGTTTTTGTTTTTGAGACAGGCTTTCTATGTAGTCTTGGCTGTCCTGGAACTTACGATGTAGACCAGGTTGGCCCTGAACTCACAGAGATCTGCCTGCCTCTGCCTCTGCCTCTGCCTCTGCCTCCTCAAAGGAGTGCATTACTATACCTGGCTAAGTGTTTTAGTCTTTGCAGACGATTCCTATTACAATTTCCTTAAAACTTTGTAAGAGCAGCCATAGAATTCATACATAAATGAATAAATATGACCATGCTCCAAAAAACTGTTTGTAGACACAAATGTGAACTTTATATATAAGGCATGTGATCAAAACAGTTTATTTTTTTTTCAGCCATCTGAAACATAAAACACAGGGCTGGGAATGTAATTCAGTGGTAGAGTGTGTGCCTAGCATGTTCCAGAGAGACTCTTGGCTTCCACCCCCCAATACTAAGGAAGAAAAAGAAAAAAGATAACATATAAACCCATCCTTTTTTCAGTACGTGCAGCGTGAGAGAAGAGGTGTCAGTTTTCTGACCCAGCTTTGGGAAATCTCTCTACATGGAAGCATAAGGAAAATATATTTCTCCTTCAAAATAAACACTAGAGAAAATGTGAACACTTTTCTTTAGATCAGCACATGTATTTAATAGTATTACATGAGAATCTACACTTTATCAAAACGTGTGGAAAATAATACATTGAAAAGAATAAGATCAAGACTCGGAATCCATGGTAACCAGGTCACCATTTTCTTACTTCACTCAGTGTTTGTTTGCTTGAGACAGGTCTGTAGCCCCAGCTGGCCTTGAATACAGTATGTAGCCATGGATGGTGAACTTGAACTCTTGGTCTTACTGCCCCCACCTTCCAAGTGCTAGAGTCACACATGACTGCTGCCCCCTGCTCCATGTCTTTAAGGTGTTTAAATATGGGGGATGCTGGGGTTGGATCTTTGTCTAAAGCAGTAATTAGCTGCGCTCTCAGCCTCTGAGCCCTATAAAATGCCCTCTCCCATACTCCAGAGCAGCGGTTCTCAACCTGTGAGTCGACCTTTTCACAAGGGTCACGTATTAAACATCCTGCATATCATATATTCATTACAATTCATATCAGTAGCAAAATTACAGTTATGAAGTAGCAACAAAATTACTTTATGGTTGGGGGTCACCACATGAGAAACTGTTTTAAAGGGTCGAAGCATCAGGAAGGTTGAGAACCACTGGGCTAGAGACTCGCTCTTCTATTTGCTCATGGCTCTCAGAGTCCCTAGTTATAAACAGCACAAGGTGAATGCTGAGTGGCTAGGCTGCCCCCCTCTTTTGGTCCCCCAAAAACGAGTGGGTCACAAGACAGAATTCATTTTCCAGTAACCATTGTGATGTTTATTTCTGGTTTGCCATAGATTCAAGGTTCTTTGGTGGTTTATGGATCAGAGAGGCCAGGCTGAGACAGCCAAGGACGGGACCAGCACACACACGCTGCAAACCTCGAGGGCGGGGTGGTTCAGAGTGGGTTCCAGTGGAAGGGTCTAGGTCCACGTTCTCCCACCTTGTCTCTTGCTCTCTGACACACTCAAAGGTTTCTTCTTTGCCCCAGCAACAGAACTTTCCAGGCTCTGAATGGCTCACCAGGTTCTGCCCTCCAGCATGAAGGCTGGACTTATTCATACCTTGGAAAGCGAGTCTTGGCACTCGACTTCCAGATCCACTGCTGACTGTGACCCTGGGAAAAGCACTCATGCCCCACGGACCTCCAGTGAGTCTCTATGGCGTAGGAATGTCTCCTTTTGAGACTAATTGCAAAGGTCAACTAATTATGAGCGATGCGTACATTATGCATACTTGTGCACACATAAAGCAGGAGGTCTTCACAGGCTTCACTATTACGCTCTTTTGTTCTAACTTGGGCCACATTCTCTATGCCAGAAATGTCCAGTTCCCCACAAAAAGTAGCGTCACCCTGGTCTAAGGATAGGGAAGATTCTGTTCTTGAAACTAAATACTGCTGTTGAAAAAAAATCACTTTTCCTCTAACAATATAGATAACACTGAACTAGGATTTATAGGCATACACAAATAAATTACTTTTAAAGTAAAAGTACATTCCTACACATTTTAATTTGACCATTTCCCCAGTAAAGTATAATACAGTGGACTCTTAGTCATGGCTTTTTTTTTTTTTTTTTGAGCTTTCTATTACCTATAGTTCAGAAATAGAAGATTTCAGAAACAAATAATTACTAAAATTTATGTTGTGGTTCTAATTCTCCTGATTTTTTTTTTCTTCATTCTTTAACATCGGGTCTCATGTAGTCGAGGCTGTCACCAAACTTAGTGCATAGCCATGGCTAGCACTGAACTGCTCCTCCTCACTCTCCTTTCCCAGGTGCTGGGCTACAGCATTGGGCTCTTCTACTCTTTGAATGCCAAGGACATTGCCAAGGCTACCAACCTCGGGGCTGCGGGCAGCTGGGCCACTACCACAAGCCCATCAACATCTCAGGCTGCAATGAACTCTACTTCATTGCTCTGAGTGCCACTTTAGGGGAGGACATGGTTTAATTCCTTTTTGTGTGAAGAACTGAAGTAAGACTTAGTTCTTTACATTTTAGATATGGTTTTAAGATTTTATTTTATGTGCATGAATATTTTGCTTACATGTATGAACTCTGTACATTCCTGCTGCTGCTGCTGGAGGCCAGAAGAGGGCACTGGACCCCCCTGAAACTGGAGTTATGGACAGTTGTAAGCCACCATCTGAGTGCTAGGAACTGAACCACGGTCCTCTGCAAGAGCAATGAGTGGTCGTAGATAGAGCCATTTCTCCAGCGCCTTAAATACGTTTTAAAGCATCAACAGTGAACTTTCTGCCCAGTTACTTCTATGGAAAGTCTTTGTAGGCGCTCAGAGCATGATGACCACACTCCCCTCATGAAGAACGTATTTCAGAGTTTTGGAATATGTCCGCAGTCACTGAGTCCTTCTCCTTTTCTATGGCAGTGCTAAGGTACATACTCAGTAAAAGTCAAATGAATAAGCAGTCAGTTTTAATGTCCCCCAAGTGAGAGAAGCCCCACTGTGGTTTCTCTTTCGTAGAGAGAGAGAATGAGAAGAAATGAGATAGACAGAGAAAAGACTGTTAAAGGCTACCTTCAGCATTCAACCTGCAAGTCCTTACCTTCTCTCTGTCTCTACTGCCTCCTGTTCTTAGATCCTGATTCTTCCTTAACTCCTGAATTTCTAGCCTCGCCAGCAGTTGGCTGTATCACGAACATCGTGTCAACACAGGAAGCCCGCTGCACACAGGTGGCTCCCGCCTCTTATCTGAACTGCAAGCTGACCCTGCAGGCCCTCTGAGAAGCCACTTCTGGAAGGTTTTTCTTAAAGGCCGTCACAGCTTCTACAGAGAAATCAACCCTTCTTAACTTGTCCTTCCGACAGGGCTATAAATAAACAAGTGTTCGCCTTATTTCACCACGGACAATAAATATAATAAAGTGTCTACTACAGAGACACAAAACTGTTTTCAGCACACTCTGCAGGCATTTTTATGCGCCCTTTTCTCTATTAATGAGCATCAGTTGAATAAGCAGTGTTTTCTTTTGTTCTTGAAAATTCCAAGAACCCAGGTCTTTTAGTAAATATGTGGAGCACAGAGCAAGGCCCCTGGGAAGGGTTGATAATTGTGCTGTGCCCAGCAGGAGTCAGTTTTGTATTTTAACTCCCACTGTCTGGTACTGAGTCACAGGCCCAAGAGGTCCCCACACACACAGCCCATTATCTGTCCTTTGAGCAGTAACTGAAGGAATCGCCGCTTCTGGCAGAGCCATTCAGGGAACCCTTCAGGATCCCGCTCTCCATCCTCTCTCGGCTGAACAGTGTGTCCTGGTCGCTTTCAAACTCAGACTCTGACACCATCAGGCTAGAGTTGTGCTCGGTGCTCCGGTGCTTGATGCCTGGGGAGAAGCAGGGAGAACGTGAAGACAGGACCACTCCCCTCAGCTGTCCTTTTGGCTGCGTTCCTGCTCTCCGGGCCTTCAAAGCAGTCACCTACATGGCAGGTGGGTTGGCATGACAACGGCTTTGGGTGTTACCCTTGAACTTGACACCAGCTTCATGACCCCTGACAAGGCACCTAAACTCTTCCCATCTATTGGAAGGTGACAGAGCTCTCACCCACAGGTTTATGGTGAGGACGGAATGAAATTGCCCCTGTGAAGCCCTTCACCCAGCTTTTAGCACAAAGTGGGCACAGGACACATAACTGCCACAGTGGTCTTCGAAGTTTAACCCCACCAAGTATTTTTGATAGATGATTTGATTTCTGGGATTAAGATATGACCCCTAATATCAACCAACTGATAGTGTCTAACATGCAAGTATGAAGGTTTGGGGGGCATGCAGGGCCATGGCATGCATGTGGAGGCCAGGGGATACAGTGAGAGATGGTTCTCTCCAAATTCCACCAGGCATAGAACCTATGCTGTCAGGCTTGGAGATAATCACCTCTACCCACTGAGCCACCTCGCCAGCACTAATGCTTCAGAATTTTTCAAAGGAACTTACAGTGTCTAGCTAAGGAGTTAAAACATGGATCCTTGACATGATGGCTCAAAATATCTAAGAAATAAAACTCTTACATGAATCAAGAGGATACAAATGTCTCCTGAGAGCTGGGATTCATCCTGTGATGGTCCAAATAGGATGGATTTAAACTAAGAGGGATGTTGAGGTAGGAGAACAGGAGGAGGGCATAGAACATCTAGAAGCGTCCGGGAGAACTTACAGGGGAAAAAAGTGTGGAGCAAATGACAAGTAGGAAACAGGGAATGCTGTGGGATGTCGTTCTGTATGCTGTGAATATGTGTTTCTCTGATTGGTTGATAAGTAAAACGCTGATTGGCCAGTAGCCAGACCGGAAGTATAGGTGGGCAAGCAGACAAGGAGAATTCTGGGAAGAGGAAGGGCTGAATCAGGAGTTGCCAGCCAGACACAGAGGAAGCAAGATGACAAGGCAGAACTGAGAAAAGGTACCAAGTCATGTGGATAAACACAGATAAGAATTATGGCCTAATTTAAGTGCAAGAGCTAGTCAGTAATAAGATTGAGCTAATGGTTGAGCAGTTAAAATTAATATAAGCTTCTGAGTGGTTATTTTATAAGCGGGTCATGGGTAGGATGAGAGAACTCCCAAAAGTTGTCCTCTGACCTCCACACACCTGCTGCGGCATGTGTACATCTCTGCCCTGGAATAAATAAATAAGATGTAAGCCAGGCGGTGGTAGCACACACCTTTAATCCCAGCACTAGGGAGGCAGAGGCAGGTGGATCTCTGTGAGTTTAAGGCTAACCTGGTCTACAAAGCGAGTTCCAGGATAGCTATGACTGTTACACACAGAAACCCTGTCTCGAAAAAACAAATAAAAAATAAACAACAACAAAAACCCACAGAAAAAGAAAGAACTAAGTTACCTACAAACCCAGAATTAAGAAAACTCATAGAATCAGCACTGAGCAGCCTCAGAGGGGCAGAAAAAGCACATTAAGTAATAGTTAATATGTGAGCATCCAAAGGTTAACTGAAGTGGGTGGGAGGTGTCCTGAGCATAAGGGCCAATACACTTTGAGAAGACAATTTTCTGTAAACACCTCAGCTGATGGAGCTGATGGGAAATGGTTCTTTTTTAAAGGCTAGATGTCCTGCCGCTGCATCTCTGGCCATATATAAAGGGAACAGCAATCAGAGATAAGCCAAGGTGAAAGTGCATGGTGGGTCATATGACCCACCGCCCTCTAACCCAGCCTAGAAAAGAACCAGGCATGGGGGTCACCTCCATGGAGGAGAAGTCTTGGTCCTGGGGTCACTTGGCAGAGGCTCAGCCTTCAGTAAGTACTTGCAATCCCTCACCCATTACTGTCTCAGAGTACTTGTCAATTTTTCATTAACTTTCTAATAGAGATGCCATTAGCCTGCTCTCAGGCAGCCTGCCCCGCCCACAGGGCTGAGGGCCTTTGTCTTTCCTTGCAGACTCCCAGACTTGCTCTTCCAGCCTGATTGAACTGTTGATTCCACCTCAGTCTCCGTGTCACCCAGCTAAACGTTCTGGCCAATGCCTAGATAGGGTGTTCCAAAGTGTCAGGCAATTGTCTTACCGTATTTGGGCCTCAGTTCCATTCTCTCCTGTTCGTCCATATTGTCTAGGATGGTGTACTTGGTTTTCTTCCTTATCTTAGTCCTTTTCCGTCTGAAAGGAACAATGAAATGATCGACTCAAATGCTCAGAATCATGCCTGGGATCTTTCCCACCTAACTAAAGGGTTCACTTGAAACTCAGTCCCTTCAAGCAATGCTCAACACCTTTATACAGCCCAGGCAGCTTTTCCCCATGAGTAATGTCTCACTCAGAAAGATGTAGGTGAGCAAGATTCCCCAGATCAGTGCTGACCAAGAATGTTCAGAGAATGAAACCAGCACCCCGAGGGAGGGGCACGCAGAAGAAGTGATAAGACAGTGAAGCCCCACAGTTATCGTAGAAATAACTCCGTCTTTCATTTTTCCCATAAGATGTAAAAACTGGGCTGATCCTGTGTGTCTCATGCTAAGCTGCAAAGTATGACTCAAAAACACTTATTAAAACTACCCTAAACTCAGGAAGCAGAGACAGACAGATCTCCGTGAGTTTGAAGCCAGCTGGTCTACATAGAAAGTCCTAGAACCAGGGCAACATAGTGAGATGCTGTCTCAAAACAGACAGACAAACCACGACCCTAAGCATCAGTCAACTTGTTCTGATCAGATCATGTCACTAAGAGCAAGGGTTTCTTACTCTCACTTTAGTGCTTGCTAGATGGAGGCTTTGAGAATATTACTTAAGTCTTCTGTGTCCCATGCCCTCCCCTCCAGAAGATTCCCTTTCTCCTGGGGTTGCTGGGAGGGCCAAATACAACAGGACAGTTAGAGCTGTCACTATGAATCAAAACGGCAACTGTTCAGTAGATGTTCAAGGTCAGCACCGTTCACTTCCTGTACACAACCCTGAGATGTAGATGTGTAAAGCCACATTCAGTAGGGACCCTATCCCACATGGTTCTGGGGACTCAATGAGTTTGGGCCTCTTTCTAAGGTCTTAGCTCTTCTGCCATGCCCACTGCTGGGAATGCAGTCATAAGAAAATCTCAAATACATTAAGGGTAACTTATGGAAACAGCTATAGTTTTAGTATGCCGTTTTAAAAGCCCATCTTTAGACACATAGTGTTTCATATAGGAAAATGAGCCCACTACTCTCTTCTGAGGTCTAATGATATCTTTCCTCACAAATCTCCTCATGAGGGCTGAGCATGGGATTCTGGGAGATTCTGACAATAGGGCAGCCCAGGGCTTCTCAGAAGTCATCTCCTTTGGGGGAAAAATAAGAAGAAAAATCTAAAACAAAAGTCCCCTTGGGTGTGCCATTGCCTCTCTTCAATTTTAGGTGGACTAAAGGAGTCAGACTGATCTAATTGTTGCTTCATATAACCAAGTCTAAAAATCAGACCACACATTTCTAGAATGTTTTTCTCTGCTGAGACATGTAAGGCCACCTGGACACTGCTCTGGTGAACATGTGAGACAAACAGAGATTACTATTAGATTTGGGAGTGGGGATTTGGCTCAGGGGTTGAGTACCTACCTAGCACATGCAAGACACTAGGTTCAATTCATAGCAAGCGTGCGTGCATACACACACACACACACACACACACACACACATATATATATATATATATATATATATATATATATATATATAATTTGATATAGAATTATAGGCCTTGCTATGCTAGAAGGTGAGGGAGCATCAATGAGAAAAAGCTGCCTCCAATGTTGACCCATTTACTTAGATGCACATGCCTAGAAGTGGAAAGTGCCCATGAAGTCCAGTTTGTCTTAAAAACTGGCTGTCAGTTAGTCAGTTAAGGAGTGAGACAAGTCCAAGCAAACAAGCCTGAGGCTGTCCATCACCCCAGCGAAGGGTCTTCTTTTCTCACAAAGAACAAGCACATTAGGTACCTCCTGCAGCAGCAGATGCACAACCAAGTCACAGCTCCAGTTAGCACTGTCAGGATCAATGCCAGCGCTGCCACGTAGAACACACTCCACTCTGCAAAACGAGAAGGCCAGAGGTAAGTGATAAGCACATTTGTGCAACGGTAAACCGTTTGCTAATCGGCTTTGTTCTGACGACTCCCAGTGAGTCTGTCTGAGCAGAGGCCAGTGGTGTGCTGGGACCACTATGTGGGGCAGGCAACAGAGCCTAGCCAGGTGCCATGCAAATCAGAACAACAGACTAATGGCTGTGTCTATTTGGTTGAGGGACCTCGTGAGGTACATAACTCAGGGACCTCAGGCACATAGTTGAGGCTAACTTGAGAACAGGAAATTCAAAGTAACTGAAGTGAAACAGTGAAGCAACCATGCATCCTATATATAAATATATGAAATATTAAAATGCTCATTCCAGAATCCCAATAAAATCCCATAAAAAATCTGTATGGTATTTTCCCCCTTCTTCTTCATCTTCCTCCTCCTCCTCCTCCTCCTCCTCCTCCTCATTCTCCTCCTCCTCTTTATCTTCTCATGTAATCCAAGCTGGTTTTGAATTCACTACATAGCCAAGGATGGTCTTGAACTTCTGACTCTCCTCCTCTACATCCCCAATGCTGGGATTATGGATGTGCACCCAACACCTGATTTTATGTGGTGCTGGACAGAGAGATTTGGGCGTTCTAGGCAAGCACTCTGCCTCCTAAGCTATGGCCCCAGACCCATGGCTCAGTCTTCATAAAGCAAGTCAAGGATCTGGATGTCTGCCTGTGGCTTGAAGATATCAGGGCCAGAGGTCAATTTGGGAACTACTCCTCATTCCTTCTACATCCTAAGCTTAGAAGTAATAACTTAGGGGCAAAAATGCCAGTGGGTGCCCAAGATGGTGTGGTGGCATATGCTTTTAATCCCAGCACTTGGAAAGCAGAGGCAGGCAGATCTCTGAGTTTGAGGCCAGCCTGGTCAACATAAAGAGTTTCAGGACAGCAAGGACAACATAGAGAGACCCTGTCTCAAAAAAAAAAATCAAACAAACAAACAAATCACCAATGGGACAGGGACTCAAGCTTAACCTGATTGAATGTCATGCCATCTCCCTAGAATAGTGGCCTGAAGCTGGCTCATTTCTGACGTTTGTGGAGAGTTAAAGAACACAACATAGCAGCCAGCTCTTAACAGTTTCTGCCATTTATGTCCATCTGGATCCCTAGGATGACAAGTTTACTCTTAAGAATACACTACCATTAAAATAGAGTTTTCTGGCTGAATATGGTGACTTAGATATGTAATCCCAGCACACAGAATGATTAGGAGTTCAAGGTCATCTTCTGCTGTGTAGAGAATTCAGAGTCAAATCAGTCTATATGAGACCCTGTCTCAAAAAAACCAAAGCAACTATATATATATAAAGTGTATATATAGATATATATCATATATAGCTATACATAAAATAGTTATATATAGATATATATAAAATATATAGTTATATAGAGATATATATTTTGTTTTGGATTTTTGTATTCATTTATTATATGCATTAATTATATATAGTTTATATTTTGTTTATGTATATATATATATACTATAAGTGTGAGAGAGAGAGAGAGTGTGTGTGTGTGCATGTGTGATTTTTCTCTCCAAAGAGACTGACGGGCACCAGCCTGGGCTGTGAGGCAAGATTGTGATTCCTGTGGCTGGTTCCTGCTTGGGCTGACTCCTAGCAGTGTGGGCCACATTTCCCATTTTGTATTATCCCAGTAGGGGGTGTGCTATCATAAGGTCCCAACATCCTAAGCCACGTGAGGTACAGTCTGGGGGAAAAGTCTCAGAGCAGTTGCTTCGTAGCACTGCCCGTCACAGAGAGCAGAAGTGCCCTGCCAAATCTATCTCCCAGGAGGTTTTGCAGATAAGTCTCAGGAGACAGACTGGGCCAAGGTTTTAATGTACAACCAAGTGAGCTGGTTTACTTGGCTTCAGGTAAGAATGAGGTTGGATGGTTCTGGATGCTAAGCCAGGAAGGGATGAGTGTCTTCAAGAACCATACCAGAAGCCACCATTGCACACACACACACACATGCACGCACACGCACACACACACACACGCACACACACTACACTCACCACAGTTGCTCTCGCCATCCCACATATAACGCTGTATGAGGTTCTCCATCCACAGCTGGGAGCAAATGCAGCGTTTTGTGATGGGGTCACAGTGGCCATGACCTGAACACTTGAGAAGGCATCCTAGAAAAGAGGTGCAGAGATAAGGTTACCACGGACAAAAGGCGGTCCCCAATTTTCCACTTTCATAGTAGTGAATGGGTGAATTAAAAATCTCTTAAGAAGTTGAGCATGGGCTGTGTGCCTTTGATCCCTGCATTCAGGAGGCAGAGGCAGGTGGATCTCTGAGTTCAAAGCCAGCCTGGTGTAGTAGTTTGAAAGAAAATGTCCCCCTAAAGGGAGTGGCACTATTAGGAGGTAGGGCCTTGTTGGAGTAGGTGTAGTCTTGTTGGAGGAAGTGTGTCACTGTGGAGGTAGGCTTTAAGATCTTATATATGCTCAAGCCATAGCCAGTGTCTCAGATCACTTCTTGTTGCCTCAGTCAAGATGTAAGAACTCTCAGCTCCTTCTCCAGTACAATGCCTGCCTGCACACTGTCATAGTCCCAGCCGCCATGCTCCCTGCCATGACAATAATGGACTAAACCTCTGAACTGTAAAGTGAGCCACCTCAATTGAATGTTTTCCTTTGTAAGAGTTGCTGTGGTCGTGGTGTCTCTTCATAGCAATAGAAACCCTAACTAAGACACCTGGTCTACAAAGCGAGTTCCAGGACAGCCAGGGGTACACAGAGAAGCCCTGTTTTGAGAAAACAAAACAAAACAAATCTCTTATGAGCCAAGCATGATAGCATACACCTAAAATCAGCACTCAGGAGGCTGAAGCAGGAAGATTGCAACAGGTTTGAAGTCAGCCTCCACTACACAGCAATGACCAGGCCAGCCTCCACTACACAGCAATGACCAGGCCAGCCTCCGCTACACAGCAATGACCAGGCCAGCCTCCGCTACACAGCAATGACCAGGCCAGTCTCCGCTATACAGCAATGTCCAGGCCAGCCAGGACAACATGGAAGACCTGTCTCAACCCTCATCACCACCACAGCAGTAGCAAACATTCTCATCATCTAAGAGCTCATCAGGAAGCAAATTTAGGGAAAAGCCAATCCATCTCATAGGAAGAGCCTTACCATTTACTAAAATAATAACCTCTAAGAGCACGTGCAAAGGGAACAATTGGGAGTGCAGGTGGTTTGTCTTTACTGTAACATCATTTAAAACCATTCCTACAGCCGGACAGTGGTGGCGCACGCCTTTTAATCCCAGCACTCGGGAGGCAGAGCCAGGTGGATCTCTGTGAGTTTGAGGCCAGCCTGGGCTACCAAGTGAGTTCCAGGAAAGGCGCAAAGCTGCACAGGGAAACCCTGTCTCGCAAAAAAGAAAAAAAATCATTCCTACAGTGGGGCGGTGGTGGCACACACTTTCAATCCCAGCACTCAGGTGGTAAAGCCAGGTAGATCTCTCTGTGAGTTCGAGGCCAGCCTGGTCTACACAGCGAGGTCCAGGACAGGAACCAAAACTACACAGAGAAACCCTGTCTCAAAAAAAAAAATCATTCATAGATGAGGAATTGTATGATTACAGAACACATCCGGGGAGGAAAACCAGGCAGCCATAACTGTCTTATGGGAAAGAAATTCTAAAGGATTTGGGGAAATAATAATGGTATGACTTAAAGTTTAAAGACACATTACAAGAGCTATGATGTAACTCAGTGGTAGAGCACTCTGCCTAATGGGTGTAATACACCAGATTGAGTCCCCAGCAACACACAGATACACACTCACACACACAGCATACTAAAACATCAAATCATCTTGATTGCATTATATTTCCTAAAGAAATACACGGGAATAGCAACAAAAGTTATATTTGGTCCATGGGAATTCTAAACTCTACAAACTAGAGGATTGTTTTCTTCTTTGACCCTTTCAGGATAGTTCAATTTTTCTAAAATAAATAAATCACTGCCTTGGGATCTTAGAAAAACAAAAGATTCTACTTTGAAAAAAATCAAGTTACCAAGTTACTCCGTGTTATGAATGAGAAAGTCAATTACAACTAACACATATCTGAAACAAAGTAAATTTGTGCAAACATCATCATATCCTGGGAACTTGAGGTGACTACTCCATTAACATTTGCTCGTGAGATGAGGACGGGGACCATGGAACTACCAATCAGTTTGGTATCTTAAAGGGACAAGCAGAGCTAAGAAACGTAGTGACCACTGGAAGACACGTATAAGCTATCTTAAAGTGACGGGAGAAATTATTGAAACCATGATGTATGACACCACTGTTCTCCGGTTTCTTTCCAAGACAGGAGTAGTTGGCAAATGTGTCACAGAAAACCTACTGGAGATATAAATGTAGAGTCCCTGGGGGGCAGGGGCAGGGGGAGGGGGAGGAAAACACCTGTATAAGATACCATTCTTGTTTCTGGGACCAAATTCCTGAATTTAAAGGGGAAGGGCAACAGTTCCACTGCTCAGAGAAGGCATGGCCAGGAGATGCGAGGCAGCTGGTCACACTGATCTACAGTCAGGAAGCAGGGGGAGTAGATGGCGGTGGGGTGAATGGCTAGGAAACCCCAAGAGCTTCCCACAGGGGTCCACCTCCTTCAGCAAAGCTCCAACTCCTAAGTGTTCCATAATCTTCCAAACAGTGTTCAAAGATACTGTGGGGGACATTTTGCATTCAACCACAACAGTGTCCATGTTGTGCCTATAAAACTCCAGTAACTGGCAAGTCTGTTTTGTTTGTTTGTTTGTTTGTTTTGTTTTTAATTAGAATATTTCCATGGGAGACATACCTGCTGTGTCTATCCTCAAGACCTTGAAAAGTAAGAAGGTTGCCTTCTCCTTTGAAAGCCGCCTGTGCAGATTCCGGACCACATCAGCAGCTCTGAAAACCTTGAAAGGTGGCCCACTCTGTACATAAAATACAATCACAGTGCTGTAGAAGAGACAATGAGAGGACGGTCACATGATCAGACAGTGGCCGGCACAATGTACCAACTCAGCCATCTGACCTGCGCAGTTAGGAAGGGAGACCACTACAGCTCTGTAGCTAGTTCATTCACTTAGCATTTTTTCACTAGCATTTTTTTTACTGTTGCGTGCATCATGATTCATTTTATGGCCAAATAATACTCCATTATATGTATGTATATCTCTTTGTGTGTGTATAAATAATTTGTATAATTTGTTTGTAGTTGGGTGTACATGTGGAGGTCAAAGGTCAACTTTGGATGTCATTTCTCAGAAGCCATCCAACTTGTTTTATGAAACGGGATCTTTTTTTTTTTCTGTCTCTGTGTAGCTCTGGCTGTCCTGAAACACACTCTAAAGATTAGGCTGCCCTCGAACTCAGAGATCTGCCTGTGTCTGCCTCCTGAGTGCTAGGATTAAAGGCGTGCACCACCACTGCCTGGCTAACAGGGTCTTTCTTTGAAGAAAAAAAAAAAAGGATTTACTTGTTCATTTATGCATTTATTTTACGTGTGTGGCAACATGTGTATCTGTGTACTACTTGTGTACCTGGTGCCTAAAGAAGCCCGAAGAGGGCATCAGAATCCCTAGGACTGGAACTACAGAGAGCTGTGAGATGCCATATGGGTGCTGGGAAGCAAACCCAGTGAAAGGATGATAAACAGCGCTGGTGGCGGCACTGGTTACCGGCAGCGGAAAGGTCACATGAGCCTCGGTTATGACTGCCTAGTCACAGAGAGCTTTATTAGGAGGAAGAGGGGGGTGGGGTACAAGAGAACCAGGCCTGGGAAGGAGCATGTGCAGAGGGCAGAGAGAAAGATGGTGGGGAAGAGACAGAGCAGAGAGAGAGGGTGGGGTCTGCAACCGGCTCTTAAGGTGCAGATTGTGTGACCAGCCGGCCGTACTTAGTCACCAGCGCGCACTGATGACGCAGGACCCTGAAGTACGCATGTGCAATCATGTAGCTGGAGTGAGGGCAGAATTCTAACACCCAAGTCTTCTGAAAGGCAGCCAGTGCTCTTAACTCCTGAGCCATCTCGACAGACCCCGTGACAGGTTCTTTCACTGGAGCCCTGGGCCTCGTTGATCAAGCTGGATGCTCACTGGATGGCCAGTGAGCCCCAAAGACCCCCACCCCACCCCTCCCCATCCTCCGATTCCCTGGGCTGGGATTACAAGCATGCACCCCCATAGTAGATTGAATGAGAGTGCCCTGCATAGGCTCGCATATTTGAGCACAGTGATCCGGTTGGTAGTGCTGTTTGGGGATTGTGGGTGGTTCAGTCTTGCTGAAGGAAGTGCATCACTGAGAAGAGGCTGTGAAGTCCATAGCCTACTCCGCTCGGGTCACTCCCGCTTTATGTTTGTGGCCAAAGATGTGACTCCTCAGCTTCCTGCTCCCTCCATCATGCCTGCTGCTCGCTGCCATACCTCTGACATGATGGACTCTTATCTCTCGAGAACTGTAAGCCCCAAATAGACCTTTTCTTCCAGAAATTGCTCTTTTGGTCATGGTATTTCACCACAACAACAGGAAAGCTACTACTACAGCCACTACCGTGTCCAGTTTTTCCCCCTTACATTTATTTGCGTTGGAGAGTGGTGCACACATGCCACAGTCCATGCGTGGAGGTCAGAGGACGGTTCTCTCCTTCCACCCTGAGGGTCCAGGGATTAAACTCAGGTCACCAGGCCCGTAGCAGGTGTCTTTACTTGCTGAGCCATTTCGCTGGCTGGCCCCTTGTCCAGACTTTTACCTGAGTTCTGGGGATCAAGCTCAGGTCTTTATGCTTGCGTGGCAAAAGCATTAGCAATGTAGCTCTGTCCCCCGTCCCCATAGGTCACTTCTATCCACTGGTGGACGACATTTAGGTCGTTTACACTCCGGCAGTCATGAATCTATGCTGTGACTGCCCACAGATACTGTCTTATGTGGATGTAAGTTTTTTATCCCCCTCAATAATGGTCTAGGTAACTAATTCTATAACTGCGTTTTTTCACAGTGGCTGTTTGTTCCACTTGACATCTGTACCAGCAACACACAGTGCTCCAAACAGTGGCCACAATTACAGCCATCCCATAGGTGGGCAATGAACAGGGTTTTTTCTTTAAGGTTGATTTATTATGTATACAGTGTTCTGCCTACATGCCACAAGAGGGCATCAGATCTCATTACAGATGGTTGTGAGCTACCATGTGGGTGCTGGGAATTCAACTCAGGTCCTCTGGAAGAACAGTCAGTGCTCTTAACCTCTGAGCCATCTCTCCAGCCTGTGAACAGGTTTTAAAAGAGTAGTGTGTGTGTGTGTGTGTGTGTGTGTGTGTGTGTGTGTGTGTGTGTGTGTCTGTCTGTCTGTCTGTCTGTCTGTCTTTCTGTGTCTATATACACCTAGGCACACACGTACATGTGCTGTGGTATACACATATGGAGATCAGAGGACAACTTATGAGAGTTGATTCTCTCCGTCCACCATGTGAGCCCTGATGATTGCACTCAAGTCTTCTAGCTTGGCAGCAGGAAGCCCCACCTTGCTAAGCCATCTTCCAGCCTTATGAGTTGTTGTTGTTTTGTTTTTGTTTTTGTTTTTTTTTCCTGGAGCTGAGGACCAAACCCAGGGCCTTGTGCTTGCTAGGCAAGCGCTCTACCACTGAGCTAAATCCCCAACCCATGAGTGGTTTTACTTGGCATTCCCTTAAACACTATGGATGGTGAGCATCTTTTCATGTGCTGACCGGCACACAGACCTCTTCTCTAGAGAAATGCCAGCTGAGACCTGTGTGAGTTTCCCAGGACTGATGCAAACAAGTCTACAGCTTAGTCACTGAAAACAACAGCAATCTCCCGTCTCTAGGTTCTGGACAGCCAAAGCCTCAAATCAAAGTGTTGGCAGGATCACGCTCTCTGGTGCTCTGTGGACAGGTGTGTTCCAGACCTTTCTCTCCACTTCCCTGGCATTTCTTGCATTGAGCTTTGTAGATGCATCATTACCACCTGTGTCCCTTTATGACCTGGTGTTCTATTCATGTGCCTCCCTGTACATCTCTCACCCGTGTGTGTGTGAGCGTGTGCAGGTGTGTGTTCACAGGTATGTGTTCGCAGGTGTGCACATGCATGTTGAGGCCAGAGATGATCTCAGCACCAGCTTAAACACTCTCTTGTCCTTAGATTCCCTCTACCTAGTGAATTAGTCTGTTAGCTTTAAATTCAATTTCACTCAAGTTTTTAGGGCATGGGCAGAATTAAACTAGATTCTTAGAAAAATATCACTTGAATGGGCCCTACCCCAGGGCCTGATAGATTCCTTGCTTTCTACTGAAACCTCCAACAGTCAGGCATCTGTCTGTCCACTATCCACACTTCTTTCAGCATTCTTGTCTCCTAAGTTTTGCTTACAGCCTTCTAGAGCTTTTCTACCCCAAACTTGCAAATTGTTCCAAATTTCTACATATTCTTTCCAAAAACAAGTTCCAAACGCCTGTGAATCACATGGTCAGGTTTATCACAGCATTGACCCTACTCCTGGTACCGATTTTCTGTCTAGGTTCCTTTTCCTATTGCCATGGCAAAGGGGGAATGGGTTTGTTTGAGCTTATGGTTTGAGGAACCTGGTAGCAAGAAGGCAGCTGGTCATGCTGCATCCAGTCAGAAAGCAGAAAATGATGAACACTTATGTTCAGTTCATTTTTTCCTTTTTATGCAGGCCAGGATCCTCTGCCCAAGGCATGGTGCTACCCATAGTGCATGGCTCTTCCCATCTCAATAAACCTAATCAAAACAATCCTTCAACAGGCACATCCAGAGGGTCGTCACCTAGCTGATTTTTTAGATCAAATTGACCAGTGAGATTAACAGTCACGGCTTGTAATAGCTCAGTGTCTGGTACAAACTCTTTCCAATAGTCCTGGCCAAGGCTACGCCTGCAGGAGCCAGAGAAATCAAATGTTACATTTGTGTAGTTGTCTCGAGGCATCTGTGCAGAGTGTAAGACGGCTAGTGGCATGTAAGTATGTAAGTGTAGTCCAGACAACTGTCTGACCGATTGCCCTTCAGCCCGAGACAGCCAAGGCAGGAAGAGAGAGTTCTACAGTGTCCAAATAGGGAGTCAGATGGTCCCACCCCTCACATTTTTATCTAGAGAAAGTTGAGCACCAGGAGGAGTGCATATAGCAAGGACTTCAGAATTTACCATTAAATTAATTAAATGTTAACATCATGGTTTTAACAGTGTTTAACACCTGCTCAGTGCCCCAGAGAAGGGTGAGTCCCCCTTATCTGTCTAAGCCCAAAAGTGTTTTCATCATAAAAGGATTCTGGACTTTGTCAAAATCTCTCTCCATAATTACTGACATGACTACATGGGTCATTCTTTTATTTTTAAGATTTTATTTTTATTTTTAATTATGTGGATATGTGATCTCTCTCTCTCTCTCTCTCTCTCTCTCTCTCTCTCTCTCTCTCTCTCTGTGTGTGTGTGTGTGTGTGTGTGTGTGTGTGTGTGTGTGTATGTACACATGAATGCAAGTTCCCATGGAGACCAGAAGAGGCCTTTGGCTCCTCTAGACTGGAGTTATAAGAGGCTGTAAGCCGCCCACTATGGGCAGTGGGACAAGCTGGTTCCCTGGAAGGGTAGTCTCTATTCTTAATTGCTGAGCAATCTCAATGGTGGAACCCTTACTCGCAAGGCCCTGGGTCCCATCTGCAGCACTATAATTAGTTAACTAGAATATGTTTTCATTAGTCACTTTTCTAAATAAATTTCAGTTCTTTGGAAAACTAACCCAGACAGACAAGCCAACAATAGCTACAAAATGCACTTCCTGGAAATGGTGGGTTTTGATCATCCCATTCTTTCTATTCTCCTGCCCTGTGCTGGCGCTGGTTTGGTAAGCTTTAAAAATAAAACTCAATTAAATACAGGAAATTTGGGAGAACGAAAGGCTGAGTAAACCCCTTAAAGACAGTGACTGGTACTGAGCAGTCTCTTCACACAGAGGAGTGTCTGCACAAGACACCTTCCTCACAAGCCCCAGGCTATCTGCAGGCCCTTCAGAAACAGCAGAACAAAGCCTCATCTCCTGTGAAGTTCCCCAACTCTCTCATTATGAACACTCTCAGTCCACCAACCTTTACCAGGACCTGAGGGAGGGGCCTAGAATGACTTGTTCTTACTCTTCTCTTTAAGGATAACAACAGAAGAATATGAGTGTGATTAAAAAAAAAAATGAACAAGAAGGCAAACAAGACAAAAGATGACCTGGGAGAGAGCAGAGGAGGCCTGCAGCAAATCTGACTGCCGAGTGAGGCCCAGCGCTGGGTAAGTACTCATCTCTGACTCCTGAGCGAGGCCCAGCGCTGGGTAAGTACTCATCTCTGACTCCCGAGTGAGGCCCAGCGCTGGGTAAGTACTCATCTCTGACTCCCGAGTGAGACCCAGTGCTGGGTAAGTACTCATCTCTGACTCCTGAGCGAGGCCCAGTGCTGGGTAGGTATAATGAGCATGGTAAAAAAAAAAAAAAAGTGCCTTTTAGACATCTGAAAATAGCTTAGTCAGGAACCCCACTACACCCAAGGCTGCACTGTAAGACCCTCACTCTATTTTCTAAGATATAGATAGACCCAGGCCAGTTTCAAGCTCCCAGAAACGACGGCACCAGCCCCAGGAACTTAAAAGTACAGCCATCTGGTAGCAACTAATTAACAAAAGAGTGCCCCAAATCCTGGACAAAAGCCAGGCCATTTGGCGGTGACTGATTAACCACGGGATGCCCCAGCGCTGGAGATGGCACTTCTCAACTCCGGAGACGGGCTGTAAAAGTTCTAACAGAACAAACGGACAAACTAAAATAAGGTAACACGGAGGCCCGGGAAGATTTAGCCGATTAGAATTGGACCCGTACTAACGCCCCCACGACCTGGAGGGACTCGTGGTTTTCGCCTTTAAAAAGCCAGCCTCACCGAGAAAGAGCAACTCCTCCCCCTGCCTCGCTGCGCTGTGACGAGTGAGTGCTTGAGACGAGCTCCCTGTCGCGCAACTTGTAACAGAAATAAACCTTGCTTTTGCATTCTGGACATCCTTGGTCTTTGGTGGTCTCTCTGGTGGTGGTTTTGACATAACAGCACCAGAACCCAGTGACATTACTCACTCAAGATAACCCCGTGACACCCACTGGATGGTATATAAGCAGAGACCAAGAGCAATGCTGCACACCTGGAGAGACGCCACCTTGGTCTGCCCTGGATCTGGAGAATCTCCCGCAGGATCCTGACACTCAAATCATCAGAAGCTTCTGTTAGAGACTGGACTAAGATATACAGCTAAGATATATCACATAGATGAGCAGCCTTGGGGAGACAGGCTTAGGAATGTAGTTAGGAGCCTAGAGTGTGAACCTTATGTGATGACCCTCAACATAATAAAATGTAACTTTTGTTATACCAACTATGCGTATCTACCTTCTTGCTTAAGACAGTAGTTCTTGCTGGATGGTGGTGGCACACGCCTTTAATCCCAGCACTTGGGAGGCAGAGCCAGGTGGATCTCTGTGAGTTTGAGGCTAGCCTGGTCTACAGAGTGAGATCCAGGACAGGCACCAAAACTACATGGAGAAACCCTGTCTTGAAAAACCTAAAAAAAAAAAAAAAAAAAGACAGTAGTTATCATAGCTGACCTCTGGGTACCATGTGCTGAGCATGCAGCTCCATACCTGACATCCGTGTGGGCCTGGATCTTGAGCACCTTCACGTCTGAGTCTAGCACATTCAGAAGCATAGCCAGCTGCCTCACTAGGGTTTCCTTCTGCTGCTCGGTCAGCTGCTCAACACCAACCTGCAGGATCAGCTCCACCAGGCCATCCTTCTTGGGGTCTGAGGAGAGAGAAGACACAGGATTTTCACCACGAGATCACAGGCTTGGTAAGGCAAGGAGCAGGGTCTGTAGAAGGGTTCAAAGCCAGACTGGGCATGTGGCTCAGGAGAGGGGTGCTGGCCCAGTACCCACAGATTGTGGGTTCCATGTCCAGCACAGAAAAAGTAGGTCAAAATAAACAAATACAAGTGTGAAAGAACCCTTGTCTATCTTTTATACCTAGTTTTAGGACTCAGATCATTCTAAAACAGCAGAGAGGTGGGAGTGTAGCACGCACCTACAGTACCAGCACTTGGGGCTGTGGGGGCAAGAGGACCAGGAGTTCAAAGTCATCCTTCCTGCACAGTGAGTTTGAGGCCAACCAGGGACACATGAGACCCTGCCTAAAAAGAGAGCTGAGCTGGGCGGTGGTGGCGCACGCCTTTAATCCCAGCACTCGCGAGGCAGATCTCTGTGAGTTCGAGGTCAGCCTGGTCTACAGAGTGAGATCCAGGACAGGCACCAAAACTACACAGAGAAAGTCTGTCTCAAAAAAAACCAAAGAGAGAGGCGGGGGGGTATCGGGGGTAAGAAGGGTGAACACTGCAGAAACCAATAAATTTTCCAAATTTATTCCACTTTGTTATCTAGTAGTTTTTCTCTCAAAAGATAATCAACTATACCCGTGGACTACATTGAAACTCTGGCACCTCCCACGCTTCCTGCTCATGGGCACTACCCAGTCCAGTTTACACTCAGCAGCATCACTATGCCCCCCTCACCGAGGCGGCCCTCCCTCGGCCTGACCATGTTTACTTCATTTTAAATCGGGAAAGCAAAATCTTCCTGCCAGAGGGTGGGACCGGCCAAGGGCAGAAGCGAGATACAGAGGCCCTCCCGCCCCGGTGACCTGGGCTCCGAACACACCTGGTAGCACCTCCACTGTGGCTGTGTCCGAGTCCGAGGCCCCCTGACCATCAGTGACTCGCAGGTGAAAAGTGTAGACTCCTTCCACCAGATTGGTGAGCTGCAGAGCCGCCAGGCTGTCAGAGCCTCCGAGGACATCCTGAGGAGGGAAGGGATCCACAGGGCAGCTGTCAGGCTCGTGCCCAGTCTCTGAACCTCTTCAGAGCGCAGAGCTCTGAGTTCTTGTTTTCAGATGTGTAGGACTTATATGGCTGGGGGGAGCGGGAAGCGGGGGGAAGGGGAAGGAGGGAGGTTTTGAATCTTCAGCTCCTCCTTATGTGGAACTCCAGTGGGTACACGGACCAAACAAGATTAGGTAAACAACTTTCCAGGCCAAATGATTAATTAACAGAGGGCGAGAGCTTAGGTTGAAAGCTCCAGGACAAAGCATGGAGTTTTATGGTCTTATTGTTTAATATAGTTTTATAATGCTCTCACTGCATGTCCCCTCATAGCATATTATATCCACCTTCTCAAGTGACCCCAGAGCCTTGGTGGACAGATCACTCATTCTACAGGCCCATAGCTCCAAAGAGTGGGAGAGAAATCTTCTGGAATCTTTTGTCTGTACTTTTTGACCAGAATGGATGGCAATGAAAAATTAGGAATCTGAACTGAAAAACACTGAAAAGCATTTAGAAGCTAATCTACTATCTAGCTAGATAGAATTCATTCTAGAAGTACATTAGAATGTACAAGGCATTTTCAGTCCCTTCCCTGTGACTGCACCTTTGGTATATCCACAAGAGTGCTTTTGTAGATCTCAAGTCCTTAGCAATGGAGAAAAGGAAGATGTATGGAAATTTACAGTCTAAGTGGCAAAGTGATCCAGCGGCTTCCAAAAGCTAAAAATCTGGGTTTGTTTGGTGTGACACTGAGCTCTTTGGCCTTGGCCAAGTCATGTTCCATCTCTATATTTTACTCTCTGCCCCTCTGAAGTGCAAATGGAAATCCCCATGCATCTGATATACCTGATACATGGAGGAAGAAAACCCAAATAGGAAGTTGAGGAGGAGAAGGGCCCCACTGCAAAGCTTGGCTTCCATGTCCCTCATGGTGCCCAACCTTCTGATACTGTAACGTAATGTTGTCATCTACAAATGTATTGGGCTGAATCCACAGCTGTTCTAGGACACAAGAGGCCTGAGCACCATGGGTGGGACACACCTGCATGGATTGCTATCCTACCCAAAATCAGATCAGGAAAAGGACTTTACTTAAACCTAATGACAGCCTCCTGTCTCCAGCTCTCAGAATATTCAAACCCAGAGGACCATGAATCTAATCAGGGAGATGGTATGGTAAGAGAGAAGTCATATGTTCAAGTCCTAGTCTGCAACTAAGTTCTAAGTTAGAATTTAGAAGGAGGTAATTAGAGTTGAATGAGGTTATAGGGGTGGGGCCTCACCCCCAGGATTGATGTCCTTATAAAAGAAACATGAGAGCAGTTCCCCCACCCCTTTCCTCCTTTCTCACACTGCCACATGAAGATATAGCAAGAAGTTGGCTACCCAGAATACAGAAAGAGATCCCTCACCAAAGGTAAACAGATTGGCACCTTGGTCCTGGTTTTCCAGCCTCTAGAGTTATGAGGAAAAACTGTTCTGTAGTTTAGGCCACCCTGCCTGTGGTCTTTTGTCACAGCAGACCACACTGACTCATCTGTATGAGGTGTACATGCCTGAGGGGTAGCCCCCTTCCAGTACTCACGCCAGCAGCTGGACTCTGGCCATCCCGGATCCACAGATAGGACACAATCCCTTGGTCATCAGTAGACCTTGAACCATCCAAAGTAATGGAATTATTGGGAAGTATAAGAACATGTCTGCCACCAGCCTGGGCTCTGGGAGGACTATTATTTTCTAAGTCAGACACAGCAAAAACAAAAGGAAAGAAACTGACTTAAAACACTATCGATGGCATGGTATAAACCACCCACAACTGCTCCATCTTATAGCCAAGGTTGTTTTAGATAACCCAAGGCATTATTTTCTATCCCAAATACCTATAAGATAAGATATAGATATAAACACTAAGCAGCTCCTGGTCCAATGGGAAGATAAACAAAAACAAGTAATTTTCCTGAGAATTTTACAATCCAAACTAATACAGAAGGCTAGGGATATACCATGGTAAAGTGCTTGCCTAGCATGCCTGAAGCCCTTAGTCCAATCCTGTCAGCAAATAAAACCAGGTGTGGTGCTGCATGCTTGTAATCCCAACAGGCAAGGGGATTAGGAGTTCAAAAACTTATCTATAAAAAATTGGGGGGAGGGGTATATGGGCCAACTAGAGGGCTTAGTGGGTAACAGAGCTTGTCACCAAGACTAATGGACTCAAATGGTAATCAGACAGAACTGATTCCCTGAAAGTTGTCCTCTGACCTACACACAACACACACACACACACACACACACACACACACACACACACACACACACACACACACACATACACACACACACACTGTGGCAAGCACACTCCCCTCCCACACATACACAATAAATAAAAACATAATAAAAAGTTTTTTAAACTGCTCCTTTAAAAAACAAAGCATATAACTGGAACATATTTCTGCTCTTGGGTTTCCAAGAAAGAAGAAAGCTAAGCACTGGCCAGAACTGGATCTTTCATGGCCAGGGTCACAGGAGAGTGAACTGCTTTGCAAACAAGAGGAAACACTACTTCCCTGCAGAAACTATAGGCTCATGTCCTCCTGCTCTGCACACTCCCTGAAGCCAGACAGGACTTAAAGGAAGTCAGTTGTCAGGGAGAAGGTTGACCCGCCCTGAGCAGAGCTCAGTCAGCTGTGAACTCACGAGCAAACACCAATATTGCTGGGTAATCATGGACTGGCCTGGGGATCTGGGAGGCTGGAAGGCAGGGCAGGTTCAGGTCCTGTTGCCAGGTCCACTCACCCTTCTTCACAGCCACGGTGAGGGTGGATGTGCTGCTCAGCCCCTGCTGGTCTCTCACGGTTAAACGGAAGTGATAAGTACCCACCTGCAGCCCGCTGACAGTGGCTATGGCTTTGTCCACATTCTCCATCTCCACTGCACTGGGACCTCTGTAAAACGGGGATGTTGTAGACAAAAGGTGGACATGAGATCTGTGCCCTGTTTCTACTCCTGGCTGTAGTGACCTTCTATCTGCTCTTCTACAGAATTCTAAGATAACTCTTCATGTACACACGTTCTCTAGCTTGGCATGAGGGTCAAAGCTAAAGTCTGTTTTTTTATTTTTGTTTTTTGGTTTTTTTTTTTTAATGTGCTGGGTTCTGGGGAAAGGGTTTCATTCTTTTTTCTGTTTTAATTGAGATGCCACTGAACTGATCTCTCTTTAGAAAGCTTTTTGAAAGCGTTTAGAAATTGCTCACTTTTTTTAAGATAGGGTCTCACTATGTAGCCCAGGTTAGTCATGAACTCATGATGAGCTTTCTGCTTCAGCCTGCTAAGTGCTGAGATTACAGGTGTGCACTACCATGCCCAACCACCCATTTCTTTTTTGAATGAAACTCAGTTAAGTCCTCATCTAGCTTCGGGGCATGTATGGAAAAAGAAGGCATGAGCCAGATGATCTACCATGAGAGAGAGGAATTATGTCTAGTCGTGAAGACCTAGACTTGGTTGTCAGACAGAGGCAGTTTGTGTCTCTCTGCAGCCTCTTCCAGTCTAGGTAGTCTAAACTATTCAGCTTTGCTGGTTTCTTCAAGCCTAAGTTTTTCAACTTGAAAATGGGGATGAGCCAGCCAGCGTGGTGACACATGCCTTCAATCCCAGCACTTGGGAGGTGGGGGATAGTCAGAGGCAAATGGATCTCTGTGAGTTGAAGGCCAGCCTCGTCTATATAGAGAGTTCTAGACCAGTCAGGACTACATAGTAAAACCCTGTCTCAAAATAAACAAACAAAAAAATGGGAACGATGCAGTTCCTTCTTCAGAAGCCATGTGGCATATTGAGACCCAACAGGTAAGACAGGAAATGTTATAATGTGAATTTCACCTTGAACTTGCACATCTGTCCTATGAAATCAATGGGCTGGTTAAGTGTAGACCACACATGGCTTTCCCTACATCTCTTTTGGCAGGAAGCTCACCCCATGCCACTCCAGCCCTGTCCACCTCTTCTGAGCTCCACTTCCCTCCACTGCCAACGAGTGGCCATCTCCCCCAAAACACTATCCTCTTTTTGATTGCTTGTTTGTTTGAAATGAGGGTCTTGCTATGTAGCTTAGGCTAGCCTTGAACTCAAGAGTTTCCTGCCTCAGCCTCCCAAGTGCAAGGATCACAAGCATGTAGCACCATGCCTATAATACATACTTTTATCAATAAGGCCTAGTTACTCTTTGCTTAAATCTTGACCCCTCAACAAGCTCGGGCTGCAGTTTAATGTGGTCCTCCAGGGAAGGGATGCTGTCACTCAGCAGTGACCCAGCCTCAGAGCTGGGTGGATACACTACCTGATGTGCTCCCAGTGGTAGCAGACGATGCCGTGGTCATCACTGCTCCCGCTCCCATCCAGTGTAGCGCTCTGCACCGGGAAGAACAGCTCCTTATCGGGGCCTGCCACAGCCACCGGAGCCTGGTTGTTCTCTAGAGTTAGAGACGTTAAAGAGAGGAAAGGAGAGAAGGAAGAAGGGAAGCAAAAAGGAAGGAGGTGAGGAGGGAAAGGAAAGAAGAAGGAAGGAGAGGAGGAGGGAAAGCACAGAAGAAGAAAGGAGAGGAGGAAGGAAAGGAAAGAAGAAGGAAGGAGAGGAGGTGAGAGGGAGGAACGGAATTAAGGAGGAAGTAAAAAAGGGTAAGAGGGAAGGAGAGTGCAGGGAGGAGAAGGAAGAGGAACAGAAATCAGGGTGCTTAGGCTTACTCTCTTCTGTCTGCAGCACCGCTGTCTAGCACAGTACCCGCTACATAGCAAATGCTGACAACATTTCACTTGTGGGCTGGAGAGACCTGGGTTCAATTCCCTGGACCCACATGGTGGCTCTCAACAGTCTGTGACTCCAGTTCTGATGCCTCCTTCTGGCCTTCACAGACATCCATGCAAGCCAAACACCCATGCACATAAAAATAAATATTTTAAAAAAAGGAAAATGTTTCAACTGAATGTTGGAAGAAAGAAAAAGAAGTAAAATATCACTCATGGTGTTATTTTTATGAATAGTTACTATTTCTGCTTCCAAAAAAAAAAAAAAGCCACATAATGCAAGCCAAGAGTCACACAGACACAGCCATTACCATCAGAATATAGTGTCTTTCCCCTCTGTCCTCCTCAATAAGCATAGTGGCTTCTTAATTTCCTAAGGACAAACATCCACAAAGCCCTGCCCCTCTGTGGGACCTCTCATCCCAGTCCTGGTCCCCAACAGGCCTAGTCCCATCTCTTCTTTCTCCTGTCACACCATTATTTTTAGTTCTTCAATGTACCCAGGCTCCTTTCATCCTGTGGCTTCTGGGAGTCTGGGCCCCTCTTCCTAAACACCTTCCTTCTTGCCCTCCACTCCCCATCCTTCTCCTCCTGATCACCTGTCATGAGTTTGTCAATGGGACTCCAGTGAAAGCTATTTCTGGAGCCAAGTGCTCTGTGGGTGCTCTTCATGTGGGCGCCCTTCCTCACTGAGGAAAGCACCTGAATAACTTCATGTCACTTCACATGCACTTGCCACAGCCCTGGAAGAGCACAGGCCAGGCCCATCTTCTTTAGGTCCATATCCCTAGGGTCTGGCTGGGAGCACCTTTTACATCTTAGCTGAATCAGCTAGTGAAAATTCAATCAGTTGCCTTTCAGCTGAGACTTCCCATCATCAGGCTACCAGGTGATGGACGTGGAGACAGCAAGCCTTTTCTAGAGAAGTTTTCAAACCAAGACCATCATAAGCAAGGTCTGGCTGGCTACCTATGAGTCTCCCGAAAGCTACAGGTAGCAGAGCCCTGGGTGTTTATAAGACCAGTAAGTGAGTGGAGCCTGGGTCAACACCCAAGTGTCTGCTGCGTCTGGGTGTCAGGCCATACAGTCACCCAGTCTCCCCAAGACACCCTGGAACTTTCTCCAGCTGAGCATGACAGGTCCAGGAGTGACCAGATGACCAATCAGAGACACACTTGGTGCTGACAGCGACTCTCATTTTGTCTTTGGTACTACGGTTTAGAGGCGTGTGACAAGATTCAGAATGTCAAAGGAAACTTGGTTTTCCATGCCCCATCAGCTCTCACATCTCTGACTTCCTGCCAGCTCAGGAACCTCAGGATGCGACCACCAAGTTAAGACACATCTGAAGCTCAAGAGTCTGGCTATCGCTTCTACTTTCATCTCTGGGGTCAAATCTCATTCGCATCTCACCTACCAGCCTGGACAATCACGGCAGCCAGAGCAGCGGATTGCTGTCCTGCGGAATCCGTCACCATCAACTGAAATGTGTACTCTCCTTCCCGCAGCTCAGACAAGCGGAGGTATGGGGTCTGTGCTCCCTACACAATAGACAATAGCAGATGTGGAAAGGGAACAAGATGAAGACTGTCATTAGAGAAGTCCCAGGAAACAGTGTGCCATGACAGAGGCTGCTGGGTTCCCTGAATGCAGGGATCCTGCTCGAAAACAAAGTGGGTGCAGTGCCGCAGGCCCAACACGCCAGCTTCTTGGTGTCCCAGTTAGATTTTTTTTTTTCAACTTGACACAAGCCAGGGTCATCTGGGAAGAGGAAACTTCAGTGGAGAAAATGTCTCTATCAGACTGGCCTGTAGGCAAGCCTGGGGGAGCATTTTCTGGATTAATGACAGATTTTGGAGAACCCAGCCCGCTGTGAGTAGTGCCACCCCTAGGCGGGTGGTTCTGGGTTGTATGAGGAAGCAGGCTGAGCAAGCCATAAGGAGCAAGCTCGTAAGCAGTGTACCTCCACGGCCTCTGCTTCCGTGTCTGCCTCCGGGTGCCTGTCTTGAGTTTCTGCCCTGATTTCCCTTGATAATGGATTACCAGCTGCGAGGTGAAATAAACTTCACCTCCCCCATGTTACCTTTAGTCATGGTCTTTATCACAGCAACAGAAAGCAAACAAAGACTCTTGGGAAGCTGAAGCAAGAAGGTGGCAAGTTCAAGACCTGCCAGGGAGAGAGGAAGTTCAAGGCCAATCTGCACAACTTAGGAAGACCCTAGCTCAATATATATTGAAAACTATAAAAGGGAAAAGGGCTAGCACTCAGTGCTGGCATGCTTGCCTAGTATATGTGAGGTGCTAGGCGGTGCATGCAGAAATTAAAAGAAGGAAGGAAGAAGCAGGGTGTGGGGCGCACGCCTTTAATTCCAGCACTGGGGAGGCAGAGGTAGGCAGATCTCTGTGAGTTTGGAGCCAGCCTGGTCTACATAGCAAGCTCCAGACCAGCCAGGACTACATAGTGAGACCCTGTCTCAAAAAAGGGGGAGGGGAGGAAAAGGGGGAGAGGAGGAGGGAAGGAGAAAATAAAAACAGGTGTGAACCTGAGAAAATGTAATTCTGAGTCTGTTGTGTGTCCTCACAGCATTGAAGGAATGTCAATTAATAAAGCCTTTGGAACTCCGTACAGCAGCGTTGGAACAGGGTCCGAGAATGGAGGTGTAAGGAGATTTCTGAGAGTTTGTGAAAAAACTCCAAGAAGCCAAGGCAAGAGTGATCTCAGTTTCTTCAAAAACATGAAATCGTTCTTGGATTACACTTTCGTGCCCTGCCCCAGGCGTAGTAGATAGGAGTGAGTTTACTTCAGAATGTTCATTACAACCGACTGTTGCTATTTGTTTATATGCCTATGTGGATAAACATGCTTTTGCCATGAGCAGCTCATCCGCCAGCTGCGGCTTGCCCTGTGACTGGACACTTTACTCATGTCACTCCTGTTAACCCTTGGAATATAAGTTGTCTGATGTTCTGAATAAAGTTGGCTATTGATGAGACTTTAGTTCGCCTCATTTATAGGCTCCATCCTCCCAGGTCCCCCCACTTCTAGAGTGGTAAATACAGCAGTATCTGCTACGGTGTTTCAGTAAGTGGGGCATACAGAATAATATCTGCTTTTCTGATAACGTAGTAAGGTTAATTACCTCTAATTTTTCTCCCAAGTCTAAATAAAACATTGCTCTAACAAATACTATGTCTGCTTTTTTCCCAAAGAATGTCATGATCGAGTTGAAACAACAGGACTGACTGCTTGGTTGCTGTTCTGTGCTTACCTGGGTGTGTGACAGCAAGGGATGTAAACTTGGGGGAGACTTGTGAGGTTACATGCTCTTCCCACCACTTCATAGTTTGAGAAATTTGTAAAACAGATTTTCTGATTTAACAACCCCCCTAAACCAAGAATAGATAAATGAATGATACATAGATGATAGATGGATGGATGGATGGATGGATGGATGGATGGATGGATGGATGGATAGATGGATAGATAGGTGGATGGATGGATGGATGGATGGACAGAGACAGACAGACAGACAGGGATAGGATAAAAGTCTGCAGGCAGGATAGAGGACTTGCCTGCATGACCACCTCTTTGCTCTCACCGCCAGGGCCTGGGGACCACTCATAGAGGACAATCTGGTGATCATCACTGCTCTGGTTTCCATTCAGAGTTATGGTGTTTTGGGGCAAAGTTATGGTCTGATTTGGTCCTGCATTGGCAACAGGTGGGTAGTCCACGGCACCATGGATGATGAGGGTTGCTGTGGTGGAGTTAGTAGCGCCATCTGAGTCTGTGATGGTCAACCTATAAAGAGAAAAGGAAGCTCTTACATCCAAGCTTGTGCCACAGCTGAAAGTAAGTGGTCACCTTAGCCTGCTCAGACTAAACATTCTCAGAAAAAAAGTGAAAATAGAGGCCAGCCGGCAGTGGCACACGCCTTTTATCCCAGCACTCGGGAGGCAGAGACAGGCGGATCTCTGTGAGTTCGAGGCCAGCCTGGCTACAGAGTGAGATCCAGGACAGGCACCAAAACTACCAGGGAAACCCTGTCTCGAAAAAACAAAACAAAAAAAAGGTGAAAATAGAAACTTGAGGATGAGGCTAAGAAAAGCATACAGGCCAGAAGATATTTTTCTTTGCTTCTGTTGTCATTTTACTTTTGAATCATAATATGTTTCCACATTAAGGCTTAGCTTTTATGAATTTACTACTCTTTGAGATGCTGAATGGAGAATGTGACCCCTCAAGGAAACCAAGAAGCTTCTCTAGACAACTCAACTCATCTTAAGAGTATTGCTAGGCACCTCTCACAACAACTCATCCTAAGAGTATCACCAGACATCCTTCTCCAACAACTCATCCTAAGAGCATCACTACATACCCCTCTCCAACAATTCATCCTAAGAACATCACTACACACCCCTCTCCAACAATTCATCCTAAGAACATCACTACACACCCCTCTCCAACAATTCATCCTAAGAACATCACTACACACCCCTCTCCAACAATTCATCCTAAGAACATCACTACACACCCCTCTCCAATGACTCATGCTAAGAGTGTTACCGGGAGCCACTTCTGCCTTTGATCTTGAGAATTTACTGGCTTAACCACTTGTGAATTTCAGCTACAAAGCACCCAGTTTCTAAAGTCATTTCTAGAGGATTTTCTACAATCATGCTTCCAAAACACTCTTTGCAAAGCATTTTAGGGTTAAGCATTTTCAAATACATACAAAATTTCAAATACATACACATACCAAAAGAAAAAAGAAAAAAGGAAAGGAAGAGAGAGAGAGAGAGAGAGAGAGAGAGAGAGAGAGAGAGAGAGAGAGAAGCAAGCAAACTGCCCAGGCCCTCCTGTACTGAAATGGTCCCAAAACAGCACAGTCTCCATTTGCTCATTTCACCCTTGGTGGAGGTGGGGAGTGGGGCGGGTGTCTGTGAACTAAGCTGTATAAATAGGAATAGAGAACAACAGCTCAGGGTAAGTTGTATATTGGGGTCATCTGCAGCTTCTGGGCTTCCTTTCACACTGTCCCACAAACTCCACGCAGACAAGGGCCAAACTCCAGCTCAGCTCTGACCACAAACAAAACCCCAGGGGTCTCTCCCATCAGAAAAAAAAGAAAAGGGTTTAAAGTAGCATGTGACTAGAAGAAGCACTTAATACCATACTGTTCAGAGTACTCATTTTTAGGTCATAGACATAGGGGAAATATTTCACTTCCTCTGCTTGGTGATATATTATTTTTATTTCTATAGAAAGTATCAGATTCAAGAAACAGTCAAAAGAGAAGTCCTGGGAAAACACAATATAGGTAGAACCCACTTGCCTAAAAGTGTAGTTACCAGGATCTAAGTTCGACAAGCGTAAGACTGGAGCATCAGCCAGAAACACCTCTCCGAGGAAGGGCCCGTCGACTTCTTCCCAGTGGTAGCTCACTACCTTAGTATCATCTGTACTTTCTACAAAGATGAAGAAAACAACATCCAGAATGAGTTATGGGAATAGTGAGATGAAAGCGTTACAACTTATTGAAAACTTAAACGTGTTTAGTAGAAATACACATCTGCACAGATCTCAACAGTCCACAGTACGCATTAGGGCCATCTCCCAGTCCCTAAATTGTCACCATTTTCCTAGACTTGTATAGGTTTGAGCAAGGCTGTTCTAACTTGTTGACTATTTTAAAAGCAGAGTGACAGGTACTGTGGCCCAGAGTGCAGTGCCTTGACATTCAGCTGCTGCTCATCTGGGTGACTGATGACATGCTACTGACAGCTTCATACAGATATCTGAATAACAGGTTCTTGAACATGTTGAGAGCTGATTATCTACAATGTACAAAACCCCTTTACCATATTAATGACTAAGATATAAGTCCAGAAAAAGACTCATGCATGAAAATTTCCCCACTTAAAAGAGCAAACCAGGGTAGGACTGAGAAGATGGCTCAGCAGTTAAAGGCACCTGCCACTATGGTTGACGACCTGAGTTGAGTCCCTGGGACCCACAAGGCGGAACAAGAGAACTGACTACCAAAAGTTGTCCTCCGAACTCTTCAGGTGCGCTATATTGCGCACAACACACACACAGTGTGAGCATATGTATATATACACACGTATGTACAGAAGGCTGGGACTGTAGTTTAGTGGTACAGAGCTTAACTACTATGTGTGTGAAGCCCTGGGTGGTTTGATCCCCAGTAGTGAGAAGTGGGGAGGGGATGGTTTTGGCATGGTAGGTCACTAGCATTCAGGAAACTAAGTCAAAATTATCTGCATGAGTTCGAGGCTAGACTGAGCTACACAGTGAGACCTTGTCTCATAAACAAACAAAAAAAAAAAACAAGCAGAGCTGGAGGATATAGCTCAGTGACAGAATGTTTGCTTAGCATCCACAAAGCCCTGGGCTCAATCTTCATATCACAAAAATAAACAAATAAATAATAAAAGAGAGCAACAATGTGTGTCATGTAGAACCATAGACTTTCAGACCTAGAAGGAAGCTGGCTTTTCATGAAATTCATTTAAGGAAATAAGTTTATATGGCCAACTAATAATCCTGCATGGTTCTGTAGCTGAGCTATTCTGATCAAAGATTTTTAAAAATTCTGGCCTTTTCTCATATAATTATTTCCATTTAAAGTGTTCTTTGTCCACCAGGCATGGAGGCTCACGCGCCTACAATCCCAGCATTAGGGGGCCAAGGTCAGCCTTAAGTACACAGCAAGCGTGGGGCCAGCCTGAGCTGCCTGAGAAAGCAAGCAAACAAATGTGCTGTATGTTCATGTTGTAGTGGGTGGAGGATGAGGACATGATGCGAATAGATGCAAGCATCACATCACTGTGATGTCCACAGTCTGCCGGCAGGCTGATAGAGCGTCATTTGTGAGTAGGAGCCCCAGCCACTGCCTCTCACTCTCAGCAGGCCATGGGGTTAACTTGGGGACTGAATGAACGGGAAAGCAGATGCAGAGCTCATCACACTGTTAAACCAAGTTAACACTAGACGTGTTTACAGTCTATTCTCGCTTGTATGGACACCCAAAGGTAGACTTCCCTCATCCTCTAGTTAAAGAATAAACTCTGAATAAATTAGTAAGCAAAATGCTACCCACTCTCGCTGAAGCCAACCTCACTTATATTTAAAGGTTCTAGTCAATTGCTAGTATTACAAATGCTATGTGATTCACAAAAGAATCCTTAGTAATTATTTGAATTACAAATCAAATATCTGACCCTAAAGAACACTGTGTTTGTTTGTTTGTAGTTTGTTTGCTTTAGACAGTTTCGTGTATCCCAGGCTGGCCTGGAACTCCTTGAGTAGCAGAAGATGACCTGGAACTCCCTATTCTCCTGCCTTTGCCGCCCAAGTGCTAGGATTACAGGGCTGCTGCTACTCCCAGCTGGAAGAGCCTAAGACAAGAAGCTGAAAGAGACACTGATTTATCTTGGTGTAACAAGTCTTCTTGGCCCTGACACAGAGTACAATCGGACAGTACAGACAGACAGAAACCACCCAAACATGGAGGATACACACGGCTGCCGTCGATGAGGGCTGAGGTCAAAGGCACAGTGAGTTCCTGTATCTGAGGAGAAACAACTGCCGTGGGTGGCTGGTTGACTCTTGCTGCTGTGGGACAGAAAAAACAGACAGCAACTAAGCCAGCTTCACACACACCAGTCACACACAAACAAGAATCCTCTCTGAGAGCTTATTCTGAACCTCCTGTAGAGGTCTTCATCCCCCTGAGTCTCAACTGTAGAAACTGTAAACTTTCAAACCCTCCTGTGGATTTTGAGTTTGTCTGTCAATTTACTTACCTATAGACAATCCCAGACTCAAGAGGTGAGTCGTGGAATGTGTACCGTGATTACAGAAAAGGAAGACTAGATTGCAGGGCCTTATTTGTCCCAGGGTAGCCTCCAGTTCTCTATGGATGATGGCCTTGAACTCTTGCTCCCCATCTGTGCCTCCCAAGTGTGTGGAGCCCTCAAAGGTTTCCTAGTGAGATCTGAGCTTGCTTTACCCAGCAGGGCTGCATCAGAGGATTGTTTGACCTCATGTATGGTTTCTAGGTGATTGGAAGGGTCTGCACTTGGCTGTGCTAGCGGGAGGTCTTTTGCTCCACCCCTTGGCATTCCTATAAAAGGCCCTTTACAAGATACAGGAGGGGCCAGTGCATATTGATCCAGGCCCTCCTGAGGCTACTCTGTGTTTCTATCTGTCTCTCTCCCCTCTATCTTTCTATCTAAATAATTCTCACTCCTCCTTCTTCAAGAATACCCTGGGGAAAAAGTGGAAGCTGGCCTCCCACACAAGTGCTAGGATTACAGGGTGAATCCAAGTGTATTCAGTACTGGGCAAGCACTCTACCAACCTAGCAACATCACCAAACCATGAATTGGATCTTAAGTCTTTGACTAAAGGTGCCCACCACCATCACAAAACTTCAGCTGTAGTAATAAGTAGACTGTGGGAAAGGCAGAGCTGCTGGCTCCCAGGAGAAATGGCTAGAAGGTGGTGTTGCCACAAACTTGATGCAAGCCAATGGCTCCGCTGAGCTGATGGATAAGTGGAAGCTGGAGGCCAGGACACAGAGCAGGGTGTGTCCATCAGGACCAAAGGTCACCTCCTCTAATCCACATGAATACACTGCATTGTGACCCAGGGGAAGACTTGATAGTCCATGGCACATGTGTGCCCCTGATCCTTTAGGGGCACAGGTGAATACATTTGAAATATCCGTGCTCCTACATGAAAGTTATAGATCATGAGGAAAGAAGGTGGATAGAGTAAGTGTTGGACAGGGAGGGTCAAGGTACAGCTTGTCATCATTCAAGAACAGTGAGTAGTTACCTTGTATACTTGAGTAGCATGTCAAGCAAGTGCCAGAGTTATATAAAAAGCAAAAGAAAACAAAAAGACTAAACATAAGCCTTGCATGTTTCTCTACAGTGGTGCCTGGGGGGTTGGAATGAGAATGCCTCCCAAAGGTTCACATATTTGAATGCTCAGTCACCAGGGAGTGGAACTGTTGAAAAGGATTAGGGGGCGTGGCCTTGTTGGAGGAGGTGTGTCACTGGAGGTGGCTTTGAGGGTTCAAAGGCCCACACCAGGCCCAGGCTCTCTCCCTCTCCCTCCCCCATCTCTCTCTCTCTCTCTCTCTCTCTCTCTTACTCTCCCCCCACCAGCCTGCCTGCCTGTGGATCAGGATGTAAGGCTCTCAGCAACTCCTCTCGCACATGCCTGCCTACATGCTGCCATGCTCCCTGTCTTAATAATAATGATGTAAGTCTCTGAAATTGTAAGTGAGTCCCCAATTAAATGTGTTCCTTTATAAGAGTTGCCTTGGTCATGATGTCTCTTCATGGCAATAGAACTCTAACTAAGACAGTCCCTAAGGTAAAAATAAAAGAATATGTGGTAAACATTGTCAGGTCCTAACTCCAAAGGCAGTCCAAATATCCAGAAAAGAGCTCAACCTAGACCACAGGAGGATTTCTGGCAGTTAGATAAAAGCCAGCATTCCTCAGGAACTTGTGAAGCTAGTTTTTCCTCCATCGAAAGGATTCATTTCCCTTACCTCTGGCAGAAGGGACATGTGGCTACCCTGTGGCACCTTTCGGCATATCAAAGCCTGTGCTGGCTTCCAGGCTCCCTCTGTATCACAAGTACCTGTAGCAAAGTCCGGGCTAGCATCTAGCCCTTCTCACCTCCTCCCTACCCTAAACTCCCTTCAGCTCGCTGGCTTCCCTCACCCCAGCTACTCAGTCTCCTTACAGCCTTGGTATTCTTGCTATGTTTTCTCTCTGTGTGTTCCTGCCTCTCTCCCTGTTTTCTCTAGTCTCTGTCCCTTGCTATTCCCTCCTCTCTCACAGATTGCCCTGACCATGTCCAGTCTACTTCTCTCTCTCTCTCTGCTCTGGATCCTTTCAGATGCCTCTGTCTGTCTGTCTGTCTGTCTCTCTCTCTCTCTCTCATCTACAATAAAAACCTTCCCTTTAACCATACCACGGAGCAGTCATGTCATCAGTTTATACAGCCATGGCATCCAGGTGCAGAACATGAGACCAGCACAGCCAAGCGGCCATTCTCCCAACCGACTCACCTGGCATAACAGTGATGTTGACATATGCTTCTCCAAATGCATCCTCACTAGAAACAGCTACTCTGAAGGCATAGAATCCCACGGATAACTGCAATGTAAAAACATACACATGGGAGAGCATCTGAAGACATTGGAATCTGCCTTCTAGAACAGCATCCCAAAGGCTTGAGAGGAAGCCTCATTTCAGTGTGTCTAGGACTGCTACAAATGTAAGAACTGCATTCTAGGATACTAAGTCACCTACATAGGCCTTTTTCTTAGTTACAGGTATCACAGGCCTTATATCAGCCAAGGACAGCGGGTCTCGGATGAGTGTGTATGGAACTGTGCTGTATTTGGGGTTTGGGGGGTCGCTCAGTGATAAAAGTGAACCCAGGGCCTCACAGGTGCTCAGCAAGGACCCTACCCTGATCTGCACCCGAGTCTGGAATCACACATTTGTAACATACAAGTTCACAGATTTACTGGCAGAGGTCTGGGTATCATGCTTTGAGAAACAGCTTAGTCACACGGCAGTGATATGAGCTGGTAAGGCTCTGGGATTGGTACAGTGTTGCAGGAAGACATTCACCTCATAAGAAACCAGACCCCTAGCTATTAAGTCAATGTGTTCTCCTTGGAGTCAAGGAAGTGGTATGTGTCTTCTTATGCATGGAGCAGGATTTGATAATCTAAGCAACTTGTGAACTAGAATGGAATTGCTGGAAACTCACAGAACATGCCTGGTGGACACCTGAGATATCTTTAACACTGTAAAGACTGCAGGAATTAGAACCCAGGCTTTGAATCCACCACACAGTATGGGCTTCCAAGGCTCTTTCTCTTGAGCTGATGATATGCCAAGCAATTCAAACAGAAAAGCTACTGAACGTTTCCTCATTTAACCATCCATCTGCCTGCTTGAGCTTTATGTAATTATAACTCGCTGATCTTTCTGATTTTTTTTTTGAGACAGGAGATTCGATTATGTTGCCCAGGCTGGCCTGAACTTCTGGGATCAAACAAACTTGCCTCAGTTTCCCAGGTAGCTGAGACCACAGGCACATGCCATCATGCCTGGCTTCTTCATTTGTTTTTAATCCTAAGAGAGAATTCTGGGTTCAACAGCAAAGATGTTGCTAACCGGATTTTGAGGTGTGAAACCTGTTACTTACTTGAGAGAGGTGAAGAGCTGGCTTGTTCTCTTGTTTGATTTTACCTTGAAAGTCTACAGGGTGGCTCATTAAACTCCATTTATAGCTGTAAGTTGTGTCTGAGAACAAATCAGAAACATGAGTGCTTATCAATTCTGAGATAACTCTAAGGAGGAGAGAGCTTTAAACCAACAGTACCAATTGCCTTAGATACAAGCTTCCAATCCTCATCCCAGGAAGGAATCACAAAGCTTCTGTGTCTTTGCAAATAAAGAAAAACAAACACAAAGACAAATTTATCATGAAAGTACACAAATGATAGAAAATAGAGTCTAAAAATTAAACCTCCTCAATTTCACTGTTAACATTTGAAAACCTTCCTTCTAGGCTGTTTCCAACACCTGATTATCCATATAATTCCTTTTTTTTTAAAATCAATAAGACAGATTCTCATTCTGTAGCTCTAGCTGGCCTGAAATTCACTATGTAGACCAAGACCAAGGTGTTTTCCAACTCACAGAGATCTGAGTGTCTCTGCTTCCCTGGTGCTCAGATTAAAGGCGTGCAAACCCACACCCACCCTACATACACTTCAGCTGTTTGATCCACTGTGTCTTTTCTCCTTTTGATGAAAAGTACATAGATTTCAACTCATTTGATCTTGATAGGGGTTGGTTTAAGACGCAAAGTTACGTAAACCTCTCTATCTTGAACTAAAGCTGTCTGCAGCCTTTAGATAGCAATGGAGTAGCTCAGCTCAGCTCAACGGCCGGAGAGGCAAATGACAGGCGAGACTGTCTCTGTTTAGGAAACTTTGACCGGTGTGACCTGAGTGAGAACCAAATACTTTAAGAATGATCTAATTAAGGAAGAGTGCACTGATAGGCTGTAGGAATGGTTCAAATGCTCAGGAATAGAGGGGGCCTGGGTAAAGAGAAGGTAAGCACTGTCAACCTGGCATTATATTTAAATTTATGTGTGTGTGTATTTTATGTGTGTTTATGTGTGCATGTGTGTATGTGTATGTACATGTGTGATATGTGTGTACCATGTCTGTGTGTGTGTGTGTGTGTGTGTGTGTGTGTGTGTGTGTGTGTGTAGGTGTGCGTGTACCATGGCACGTGTGTAGAGGTCAGAAGACAGCTTCAAGTGTTGATCCTCTACTTCCAACTTGTTTGAGATGGGATCACCTGTCATTCACCACTGTACAGACTAGGCTAGTTAGCCTCGCTCTGCCTCCTATCTTGCCACAGGAGTGCTGGGATGATAGACATGCTACCACATCCGGCTTTCCATTAGTTCTAGGGATCTGACATGGGTTCCCATGCTTGTATGGCAGTTACTTGTCCACGGCACCTCCCTGGCCCCTGGCCATTTTTTGAGCAACTGATCTGGAATATTCTGAGAACTACTCAACTGTGTCTCTAATACTACAGCATCAGCAAGCAAGCCTCCCACTGCATGCCACCCCCTCTCCTCAGTAGAATCTCCCTGGCCTCCGTGGGATGTCACAGATCAAGGCCTTGCATGTGGCAACCCCACCTCTCTGATATTATATGGTGATCTTCCAATCTGACCAGTCATAGATTATGCACTATATTGAACTTCCTAGACACCTACTGCATTTCTGCTATCTCAGTAAATGTTGGCCATCTCCTACTTGGAATGTTGTGGGAAGGATATATCAGGCCTATGGTCTGTGGAGACCTGGGAGAGAACACCCCAGCTCTACCAGCCAAAAATGTCAAACTCTTACCTGCTGGGGGCGCTGGCTCAACAGAGGCCTTCAGTTCTGCTTCACTGTCCGGTAAGGTTATCACAAGGTTATCTCCAGCAGACACTGCAAGCGCCTTTACTAAAAGTTAATTAGAAACCGTGCATGCCATTATGTAATACAATGTCTGCATAATATACCTGCTCTTAGTGTGATCATTCCTCATAAAATTTTATCTAAGGCACCCCACCCCAGGCTGGTGCCCTCTATTATGCTGCAAGCTAGACTGTGCAAATTGAAAACTTCCTGCATGAGTTGACACTGGGAAGAAAATAATCATTCAGAATGAGCAATGTGTTGCGTGGTAGTTTACCAGCAGGTGGAGGACTACTGATTGAGTTTGTTTTCTCTGGGGCAACCAGCTTTTCTTGACTCCCTGGTGAGTGGTCCTTGCTCACAAATAGGTCAAGAGTGCTCCTAAGTGACTCAGTATCATTAGCCATGCTGCTCAGATCCGGGAGCCCCTCATAAATGGCCGCTAATGGCTTTGCTCTTGGAGCCTTTCCAATAGGAAATCCAGGCAAGCTCAGTATGAAAAGGTAATTGAACTCCAGCAGCAGGGACATTAACTCTCATCAAAAGCACTTACCTGCTAATGCAACAAAGCTCATTTACTGTCCAACCTCCATGGCATGTCATAGTCCTTCCTACTGCGGCTTATCTCAACTGGGCACTAGTTTCACCGTCATTCATAATTGGGTCAGAATAAACTATTTGAATTGAGTTTTCTGGGGCCTTAGCCCACAAAATCAAGCTTACCAAGAGCTGAGAAAGGCTCTGCCATTCTCAAGGACACCCCAATATTCCCATATCCCCATCAGCACCCAGGGAGTCAATATCAGGGCAGCTTCTCTTCCTCACCCAGGGCACTTCTCTTCCTCAATCTCCTCCTCACTCAAGTTCAGGGTCAAAGTCAGTAAGAGTGAAGGTTAAGAAGCATCAGGGAATCAAAACTGAGCAGCACTGGTTCAGGGGGCACCTGGGATACCAGGCAGGTCTCAAAGGTAACTGAACCTTTACGTTAGGAGTGTTGTTGTTATTATTATTGTTTGAAACAGAATCGGATATGGCCCAGGCTGGTCTCTTACTCTCTATGTAGCCAGGGATGATCTTGAACTCCTGATCTTCCTGCCTCCATTTCCCAAGTGCTGGGGTGACAGACTTGCACCTCCACACTCAAGCAGTTCAATCTTTGAACCGGGCTGTAGCTACAGCCACCCTCATATTCCAGTTGACATTGCAAGCATTAACCCCCACTCACTTTCTGGACAACAGACCTTATTTTATATTAGTTTTGATTTAATTTTCTTGTTGCTGTAACAAAATCTCTAACAGAAGGGACTTGAGGAAGGAAGTGTTTGTTTTGGCTCCCAGCATGAGGGTTACGTCCATCAAGGCAGGGAGGGCAAGACAGTAGGAGTGGGAGGCAGCTAATCTCATTGTGTCCCCAATCAGGAAGCAGAGGGAGATGAATCCTGGTACTCAGCTCACTTTTTCCTTTTTATGACATCCAGTCCCTACCCCACGGAAAGGTGCTGCTCACACAGTTACGGTCTTCCCACCTCGGTGAACCTAATCTAAATAATCCTTCCCATCCTAGACTCCTATCTTGCCCTCTCCAACCACAAAACTAGTTCCAGCCAACTGATCTCCTTCTGGTTCTTCCAAAATGTTGTGTGAGTCTTGTCTTCTCTTCCACACATGATGGAAGAGATCACTCATGGTGTTGATTCAGAGAGCAACGCTCTCAAGACTAGTGATTTCCCAGGGAGAGAAGCCTTTGGTACTACAGGCCCATCATGTTTCTCCTGCTCTCAGCACCAGGACAGGCTTCCTGTAGTTCCCTATCTCCCCATCGAAGTCACCCCCAAATATCACAGCTGCCTTGCTTTCTTGCTAAAAGTTCATTAACCAGAAATACACAACACTCATTCCTATTAGAACATGTATTACTCCCCCTACAGAACAGGTCAACCCCATATGACCTGACTCACCCTAACCTGCCAGTCCCTCCTCCAGAATGGCTTCCTGGCACTCCTGGTAGATCAAGTAACCCTCCTCTGCTGCCAGCACCCTCTCACAGCATTTTCCGTAGCTTGTCAGAGCCATCTATCCATCTGTCAGTCTCCCCTCGTACCTTATAGATCCACAGAGGGAAAAGACAGAATGCCATTCATCTTTTACTCTGGTTGCAGAGCATGATGTCTGCTAAGTGTCTGTCTCAAGACGGGGGCCGAAGGGAGCAGTGAACTTTAAACACTGTCACTGCTAGAGTTTGCCTCTGCAGTGAATGTCTTCTAACTGTCGTTTTCAAAAGTTACCTGTCCTGGAAGAAGTAGTCGGTGACACAGGCCTCTCAGGTGGGGTCAGCCCAGGGAGAACTGTAGTGGTGGGAAATGTTGGGGTGCTGCGTTCTGTGTTCCATGGGGTGACCGTAAGAATGGAGCTTTTCTCCACCATGGCTGGGCTGGACTCCAGGCTGTCTGGGGGCAGACTAGGGGAAGGCATTAGAACCTGCAGGGTAAGTTAACAAGGGTATATATTGTTACGAAAAAAGTTCGCTTGGGTTGGACAACACAAATATGGGCAATGGGTTATTTGTGCCCACCCTCTCCAAATTCATGCACTGAAATCCTACCCCCCATGGATGGTTTTTAGGTGAGGGGGAGGCAGAATAGGTGGTCAGGTCATGGGGTGAGAACCCTCATGAATAGAATCAGTGCCTTCATTACAAGAAGACAGGGCTCAGTCGTGGTGCAGGCTCCTAATTAGAGCACTCAACAGGCTGAGGCAGTAGGATTGCTGATTTTGAGGTGAACTTCGGCTATATAGCAAGACCTTGTCTCAAAGAAAGAGAAAATGAGGATGGGGAAGGAGAGGAGGAGGGGGGAGAGGATAAACAGAGGAGAAGGAAGAGAAGAAAGGAGCAAGAAGAGGCGAGGAGGAAGGGAAAGGGTGAGAGGAAGGAAGGGCTGACATGCCCCTCATCCTCTACAAGTCTGGTCTTGACTGGTTTTCTATAGATACTCTATTCAGTGGCGCTGTGGCGTGAATAACGCTGCTCTGCTACAGTCTTTGCATGGAGAGATGTGTTTATTCCTCTTTAGTGCACACTAGAAATGTAACTGCTGGGTCACATGCTGGGGTGATGCTATGTATGACTGTTTTAGCGCTCAGAACAGCAAGCCAGTTTCCCCGGGCATCTGCATCGCTGTGCACTCCACCAGCCATGTACCAACACTGCGGCGTCTCTTCTAACTAACACTTCCCTAGTTTGGGCTTTGTTGTTGCTGCTGCTGCTGCTGCTGCTGCTGCTGCTGCTGCTGCTGCTGAACTACTCAGGCCTATAGACCTTGGACTACACTCCACCCAGTCCTGGTTTTATTTTTTAGTATTTTATTCTAGCCATCCTAATAGTATTACGTTTTGGATTCAACTTCTTTTACTTGTTTTATTTATCCTGAGTGCTGAGACTACAGGCACGTACCACCACTCATCCTTACCAATTTTTAAATCAGGTTGTTTTCTTGTTAATGAGCTGTAAGATTTATTCACATTTCTGCATATAATGTTATGATAAATGATTTGCAAATATTTTACTCCGTTCTATAGGTTGTCTTCTCTTTCTTTATGTTGTTATTTGGGATGCAAAAGTATTTAATTCTGATGAAATCAATTTATCCTTTTTTAAATTTTTACTAAGTTGTTTGTTTTGAAACAAGATTCTCTAATTAGCTCTGGCTGTCCTGAAACTCACAATGTAGACTAGGCTGGTCTGAACACACAGAGATCCTCCTGCCTCTGCCTTCTGAATTCTGAGATTAAAGATGCATGCATAACATCATTTTTGCCAAATTTTGATGCCCTGTACAAAATAATTATCTAAACCTAGTTACTAAAGGTTTAGTATTGTTTTAACTCTTATTGTTTAGGTCTTTAGCACATTTTTAGTTCTTTTTTATATAAAGTGCAAAATAAGAAAGCTACAACTCATTCTTTTGCATGTATTATTGGGACTTTGAAAATGACACTCCAAACCAAATGCTTCAAGCCAAGTTTCTCTCTGGCCTTCTCCTGTACTCATTCTCCCCCAAAGCATGCCACAGAAGCTGGAAGGCCTTTTTCCCAGTATGTCAAGAATCTTACATACTATTTTCCTTTTTTAAATTCTTTTTTTTTTTTTTAGTTTTTCGAGACAGGGTTTCTCTGTGTAGCTTTGCGCCTTTTCCTGGAACTCACTTGGTAGCCCAGGCTGGCCTCGAACTCACAGAGATCCACCTGGCTCTGCCTCCCGAGTGCTGGGATTAAAGGCGTGCGCCACCACCGCCCGGCTTAAAATTCTTAAAGGAGGCAAGGAGGTCGCTCAGTTGAGAGAGAGCTCACCTAGCATGGTCAAGGCCCTGAGTTGTAGCTAAAACCAGCATAAACCAGGAGAACCCCGGGATCCCAATGCTCAGGAGGCAGAGGCAGGCAAATCTCTGTGAGTTTACAGCCAGAGATCCTGCTGCAAATTATTAGATAAATAAAATAAAAGCAGGAATTCTGAAATTCCCCTGTGCCCTCCATTCACTTCTTTCTGACTGCCTTCAGATCAGTGCTGAGCTCCCGGATTCTTACATTCTCTTCAAGTCCGAGCGATCTCTGGGTTCTCTGGCGTTCTGTCCTCACAGGATTTTCTTCCAGTAACACTCGGGCCTTCTCCCTACTTTTGCCATCTCTAGACTCTCCGTGATTCTTTCCCCTCCCGTGCCCCCTCCCTGCAAACTGTTTAAAGGGTTGGAGATTCATTCCAGGGTCCCGGGGACAAATGTTCTACCATGGAGTCATAACTCTATTAGTTTTTCTTTCTTTCTTTTTTGAGTTGGATCTCAGAACATGTTAAGGATGGCCTTGACCTCCACTCATGGTCCTTCTACCTCCACCTCCTAGGTAGTTGAGACTACTTGGAAATGAGACCCTCGTTCTTTTACCACCAGGGTTTTTCATGGAAAGGTCTGTGGTTCTTCCTACCCATCAGCTTCACCATGTCTCTGGCACCCCTTCTAGCCACCTAACTAACTGGTAGGGCTGACTGTGGTACGGGAAAACTTGACATCTGTCTACTATGGGAAATTTTCAAAGCCTCTGTGTGTGTGTGTGTGTGTGTGTGTGTGTGTGTGTGTGTGTGTGTGTGTCCGTCCATACATGCTGGTCCCAGGGCCTTCTATGAAGTCTTTGTTAACATTAATTATCCATAGAGGATCTGTAGGGAGAAGGGCTCTTAGGTAGATGACCTGGGAAGGGGAAGCTCTGTGTTCTTTTCAAACTTCTTATGCAGGGAAGCATGGCAAAGAATGCTATTGTGTTACTGGTTAGGTTGTGAAAGACATTCATCCTCAGGCAGCAACCTGAGGCAGTGCCCTTAGGAGAAACCTCCTCAGGTTCCTCAGCTCTGTGTTCTTATCAGACCGCCTGCTAAGGGGAGCTCGGCAAAAGAACGCTGTTCTGTTTCCTGTTGGGCTCTGACATCCATCTTCCTGTTCCTCTAGCCTGAAGATTCTGGCAGAGCTTAGCCATATGCTACTTTCCCTGCCCACCTAAACATGTGCTGTGGGATGTCTTTCTGTATGCTATGAATATATGTTGTTCCCATTGGTTAATAAATAAGCTGCTTTGGCCTATGGCAAGGTAGCTTAGAGGCAGGCAGGAAATCCAAGGAGAGAGACAGGAAAGAGAAAGACAGAGATGCCAGCCACTGCCTAAGGAGCAGCAAGATGCCAGCAGACCGGTTATGCCACAGTCACGTGGCAACTTATAGATTAATAGAAATGGGTTAAGTTATAAGAGCTAGCTAGCAAGAAGCCTTCCGTGGGCCATATAGTTTGTAATTAATATTAAGCCTCTGAGTGATTATTTTATAAGTGGTTGTGGGACTGCAGGTGAGAAAGATTTGTCCCGACTGTGGGTCAGGCAGGACACAGGAAATCTTTTGACTACAAGCATGTCTCCAGCACACCCACCTCTTTTCCAGAGCCATTGTTAGGTTGTTCTTGGAGCTGTAAAGTCTCTCTCTCCATCCCCTCTCCTGTAGGTAATACGGTCACAGAGGTGGGCCACACACTGCTCTCTGCTGAGTGCCCGGGGGTAGGGAACCCAGTGGACTCATTCAGGGCCCCCAGCTGCTGCTGGTCCAGCGGCTGGGGTGTGGGGTCCTGCAGCTTCTCTGTGGAAGTAGCTGAGCTGTCTTCTGCAGCTGAGACATTGAAACCTCCCTCACTGCCGGGCAGCAGGCTCCAGTCGGGGTACTCGGCGCTGCCTCGGGGGTCCTGTTGGTTGGAGGGCTGCAGGAGGCCCTGCTCCAGCTCCTTGTAGTCATCTGAGTACTCAGCAGCCTCCTCTGGTCCCCCATCTTTGCCTAGAAAGGGCAAGTCCTTCCTGAGGTCCTCAAGGGAGTCTCCCCAAGCACCAGAGGGGGAACCCCTGCCCAGCATCATGTCTCCGTAGTCCAGCAGCTGCTCGGGCTTCTGGACAGGTCTGCGCACGAAAGTGAGGTAAGAGCGGATGGGGCCTGTCGTCCTGGGCTCACAGTTCTCCTGGTGCGCACAGTTCACCAGGTAGCAGCTGCCCTCAAACCACCAGGCCAGGTCGCAGCTGGGCAGGTCACAGCAAGCGGCCGTGCAGTCTCCCACGGAGAAGGTTTGAGATGCCCGCATGATTCTAATGGTTTCCAGGTTAGGTGAGATGATGGCGTTGGAATATGTCCTCCCCTCACCGCACTGCTGGCCCCTGCCACCTGAAGACCAGAGAGATGCCAAAAGCCAAATCGGTAAGCACACACACTTCAAAAGAAGATACACAAATGGCCAATAAATATTGGAGAAAATATCCAAGCTCTGTAGTACACCAGTAACAGCCCCACCTCCCCACCCCTCCTCCCCCACCCTCCACCCTCCCATGCTGGACCCACGTGGTGGGAGAAGAAAACTGATCCCTACAAGCTGACTTCCACACATAGGCCACAACACTCACACACACAATAAATGAGTAAATGCAACATAATGCCAAACATCAGCTCTGTGGAGAGACTATTTCATCCAATGTAATGAGAATTAGATATACCGCATATGTTCCTTTTCCAATTAAAAAAGGCAACACATGAAGCAGAGATGGTATTTTCTCAAACACAAACCTAGTTTTTAAATCACATGAATAGTTTTGGTCTATTATTTTTTAAAGAAAAGCTGGATCTCAGACATGGAGAAAACACTAGTTTACTACAGCGGAACACAACGAAACAGGACCTCTTACGAAGCTCAAGAGAGGATGGGGTGAAGCAGAGATAAGGTAACTCCCAACCTCTCCAACCCACGGTATTTTTATGGCTACCATTGCATCTCTCCATAACTTGTATGAAGACCTGAGCCAGAAGTTTCTTCCTGACCCACATGGTCAGACGTGCCTTCCTTCCCTTGAAGACATGTGTCCAGAAGCAAGTGAATCTGAGCAAAATCATGTTTAAGGCCTGGCCCCGGCCACCCACGGCAGGTGGCCTTTACAACTCTCCCGGGAAGCAATGATGGTTTCCTACCTGCGATGGCCGCCAGCAGCAGCAACGAAGACAGAGCTCCTGTTGGGGACACCATTCTGCCTCACACAGGATGACGCCTCCAAGGCAATGGATTTGGAGCAGGCTCCCTTTGGCGGTGGATGAGCCAGATGTAGCCTCTAGAACTTCAAAGAAAACAAAACAGAGACAAGGAAGAAGAAAAGGGTCGACAAATGTGGAAACATTGTTCCTATCATTTATTCCCGTCCACAGAAAAACTGTCCTGTTCACGAAGTGAAGTCATCGCCAAAGCGGCTATTCTCCAGAGAAATTTATTAAAATAGCCAGGACAGTTAGTTCCTAAGAAGATACAAAAAAAAAAAAAGCCGGACATATTGGTACGTACCTTTAATTCTAACGCTTGGGAGGCAGAGGCAAGCAGATTCTGTGAGTTTGAGGTCAGCCTAGTCTACACAATGAGAGTTCCAGGCCAGCTAGAGCTAAATAGTAAGACCCTGCCTCAAAAAAAAAAAAAGAAAAGAAAAGAGAAGAAAAGAAAAGAAAGAGAAAGAGAAAGAGAAAGAAAAAGAAAAAGAAAGAAGGAAAAGAAAAGATGAAAGGTTTTATGTCAGCTCATCCTACAAACTGTGGAAATAAAGACCAATCAAATGAGAAAAGTGAGGCTCTATATTCACAGTGTGTTGTGGCAAAGAATTCAGTCACTGTCATTGGCAGAGACTGGAAGACAGAGGAGAGGAAACGCTGTGCAGTGGGATGAAGGGAGGCTTCAGTGTGTTGGGAGAGGAGGTTGCCCTGTGGGAAGCTGTCCTGGCTAACTAGAAATTGAGCATCTCATGATATGGGGAAAGCTAATGGCTAGTTTTATGTCAACTTGACACAAGCTAACATCGTCTGAGAGGAGGGAACCTCAGTTAAGAAAATGTCTCCATCAGGTGGATCTCTGTGAGCTAGAGGCCAGCCTGGTCTACAAAGCAAGTTCCAGGAGAGCCAGGGCTGTTATACAGAGACACTCTGTCCCCAAACCAAAAACCAAACCAAACCAAAATGACAATAAAAAACACAAAATGATAGAAAAAAAAGAAAATGCCTCCATTAGATGGGGTTGTAGGCAAGCCTATAAGACATTTTCTTTTTCTTTCTTTCTTTCTTTCTTTCTTTCTTGCCTTCTTTCTTTCTTTCTTTCTTTCTTTCTTTCTTTCTTTCTTTCTTTCTTTCTTTCTTTCTTTCTTTCTCTCTCTCTCTCCCTTCTTTCCTCCCTTCCTTCCTTCCTTTCTTTCTTTCTTTCTTGCCTTCTTTCTTTCTTTTCTCTCTCTTTTAGTTTTTCGAGACAGGGTATCTCTGTGTAGCCTTGGCTGTCTTGGAACTTGCTCTGTAGACTAGACTGGCTTCAAATTCACAGAGATCCACCCGCCTCTCAAAAGCTGGGATTAAAGACATGCGCCACCACTGCCCAGTCAAGGCATTTTCTTAATTAGTGATTGATGGGGGAGGGACCAGCCCATTATGGGTGGTGCCATCCCTGGCCTGGTGGTCCTGGGTTCTGTAAGAAAGCAGGCTGAGCAAGCTGTGGGGAACAAGCCAGTAAGCAACACTTCTCCATGGCCACTACATCATCTCTGGTCTCTAGGTTCCTGCCCTGTGTGAGTTCCTGCCTTGACTTCCTTCGATGATAAACACCGATATGGAAGTGTAAGTCAAATAAACCCTTTCCTCCCCAACTTGCTTTTTGGTCATAGTGTTTCATGGCAGCAACAGAAACTCTAAGACATGAATGTACTTTTTTTTGGTGTGTGTGGCGGGGGGAAGCTGGTCCCAAGAGGAAAAGGACTAAAATTTAGAGAAGCTGTCAATTATTCAAGTCCTGCCTACTTGCTGCTAGCTGCTGTAAAAGCCATTATTTGGCCTCATGAAGTACTAGACTTGGTAGTCCAGCTTCCGAGAAGTCCCTTGGCAGGCTGGCTTCCTGGATTGTTTGCTATAGACAAGGGCGGGTTCCTGGGCAGGTTTCTAGGAGTTGTGGGTCAGAGTTCTACTTGTGTATATGGTTCAGCCACTGGCATTTGCACTTTCAGTGTCTCAGAGCCAACACGCCATATTCTTTCATTTCTAACACGTGAATATGTTCTTGTTTCACCACCATGGACATCAGGATTGCTTACAATTACAGTTGGCCAAGTGGAACAGGAAGAACCTGCCACAGCATCTGTGCTAACATCAGCCACACTGAACAAGTGTCAGAGTCTGGGAAGAATGTTCCCAAACAACATGCAGGTGCTCTGAGTGGCTCAGAGGTACAGCATGCGCTTAGCACATACAAGGCCCTGAGCTCAATCCCCAACGCTGAAAACAAACTAAGAAAGAAAGAAAGAACTCTTCAGAAATACTGCATCTGCCAAAGTGTGTGGTAGAACCAAGAGACACTGTGTGGAAAGGCCACAGACACCGGTGACTGAGTAGAAAAGCTCCTCAGCAGAAATGAACTAAAAGAGTAACAAAATATTTTTTTTGTTTCATCTTTAATAAATAGTAGAAGTATATATATAAAACAAAGAATTGCTTTAAAACAAGTTTCTTTGTGATTTGCTGTCAGTGTGTAGTTTGTATGCCTGTTCTATATACCTGTATGCCCAGGGTCACATAAATATGTCTCGGGTAAAAAAGGATCATAGTGAAAGAAGATTAAGAAGCCTTGTGTTAAGTGATAAGACGGGAATGTGCCTTGCTTTGAGTGTTTCTTCCTTAGTGTTATTTAAAACGACAGTGCACTTTGTCACCAGTGTCTGAGGTCTGGATGTAATAATGTGAGCACAGGGTTTTTTCCTAGAAATTTTCTCAGTGTGATCCTAACAACCACCATGCCAACATTACTATCTCTGATCCACACATGATGAAACTGAGACTTAAAAGAGTTAACGTTAGCTAAGGGGCTGGGGAGGTGGCTCCAGCATGAGTCAGAATGCTTGCTGCAAACGCACAGGACCTGAGTTCAAGTCCCCAGCACTCACATAAAAAGGTGGGCATGGGAACTCAGTAGTTAGGAGCATTTTCAACACTTGCAGAGGACCTGTGTTCGGTTCCCAGAACCCACATGGTGGCTCCCAACCATCAGTAACTTCAGGTCCCTCCCTCCCTTCCTCTCTTCCCTTTCGTTCTTCATTCCTTTCTTCTTTCCTTCTCTCTATTCCTCTCCTCCTCCCTCTCAGTTCCTTTTTCTTTATTATGTTATCATTGTTGCTTGTTTAGGGTTGTAAAGTGTTTGGGTTTGTCTAAAATCATAGTAGACATAGAGTGAATAATAGCTGTTTCATTGAAATTTCAAATACATTAGAACCAAAACCTTTTGGCCATCTATAATTAACTTTTTACAGCAGGCACAGTCTGGATGATGAAATCATCCATTTGATCACTACCATACGCTCCCTTACAGAACGAAATGTTAATCCCAGCCCTCAAGAAGCAGGATGATCACAAACTCAAGACCAGCCTAGGCTACAAGAAACCCTGCTTCAAAAGAGATAAAGCATAAGGGCTGCAGAGATGGTTCAGGTGATCTACAGGATCTGCTGATGGGTAGAACGGAAGGTGGGAGCTAAGATCAAATTCCAGGGTGACTCAGCAAACACAAAGAACAGAATTGTCATTACTCAAAGCAGGAAATAGTGCAAGAGAGATGTACCAGAGCTGCTGTCCAGGATGCTGTGGGGAGCCAGATCAACCCAAGACTTTCTCACAGGCCTGGATGAAAGGACAAAGGGAAATTTAGTTCTGTGTTCCTGTCCAGGAACAGACTTGGCAAGGGTGATCTGAGGCTGGAGCCAGTGCCTTGGAGGTGTCAAGGTTACAGCTTCTGGGGATCCAGAATTCCTTCTGGACTGGGTTAGATTAATTAGTTGGTTAATTGCCTGTTATTCATATAAAATCCAGGACTGAAGGTGAACAGTTAGTAAACTGAGCTTAAATCTTATGTTAAAGACTGGTGTGGATGTGTATACAAAGTGGTAATTGCTTTCTTTTAGCCAGTGTCGGGGAGGTGCTGTGGTAATATTTTGCTTGTGCTCTAACAAATAAAGCTTGCTTGGGACAGGTGGTGGTGGCACACGCCTTTAATCCCAGCACTCAGGAGGCAGAGCCAGGCAGATCTCTGTGAGTTCGAGGCCAACCTGGTCTACAGAGCGAAATCTAGGACAGGCACCAAAACTACATAGAGAAACCCTGTCTCAAAAAAATCAAAAAATAAAAAATAATTAAAAAAACAAAAAATAAAGCTTGCCTTGAGGTCAAAGTGCGGAGCTGTCCACTAGTTAACCATAGAGGCCAGGCAGTGGTGGCATACACCTTTAATCCCAGTACTTGGGAGAAGGAAGTAGGAAGATAAGATGTCCAAGGCCACCCTTGGCTACATGAGATTGATCCAGTCTAAAAGAGAAACAGAGCCAGGTGGTGGAGGCTCATACCTTTAATCCCAGCACTTGGAATCTCATGCTCTTGATCCCAGTATTTGGGAGGCACACCTCTTTAATCCCAGAGCTAGGGATGTGGAGACAGGAAGTGATATGGCTGGGTGGAGAGATGAATATAAAGCAGGAGGAGACAGGAGCTCAGCCCCCCTTTTCAGACTGAGGAGTTGGTGAGGTAAGAGGTGGCTGTGGCTTGCTCCTTTGTCTCTCTGATCTTTCAGCATTTACCCCAATATCTGGCTCCAGGTTTTTATTATTAAGACCAATTAGGATTCTCACTACAAGGTATTACAGTCCCAATAAGGCAGGGCTGGTGGAGGAAGATTAGGACAATATAAGTTGCTACTAAACTCTGAAGGACTTTGATCCAACAAGGCCAGACACCTGCAATTCCATGAGTAAAATCTGAAAGTTCTGCTTGTGAGTCTGTCCACAAGGACACTTCATCTGTCCTTGCCAAATTGCCATGTCAGTAAGGCTAATGATAGAGAACAAGCTTCTAAGTTTCTCATCGTAATGTAGAACAAAGGTTGATCTATGAGAGCTTGCTTTATTTGCAAGAATAACATAGTGTAGGAAGAAGTCATCTTCCTGACCATCCACAAATATATGTGCCTATGAGGTTGAAATGTAATCATGAGATTACATGTACACATTGCGTGAAAATGCATGGTAATAGGGAGATATCATAGCAGTTTTGCACAAGT